GCTAGATTTCAAAGGGAATGCTTCCAGTTTTTGCCCATTCAGTATGATATTGGCTGTTGGTTTGTCGTAAATAGCTTTTATTGCTTTGAGATACGTTCCATCGATACCGAGTTTATTGAGGGTTTTTAGCATAAAGGGCTGTTGAATTTTGTCAAATGCCTTCTCTGCGTCAATTGAGATAATCATGTGGTTTTTGTTTTTGGTTCTGTTTATGTGGTGAATTACGTTGATAGACTTGCGTATGTTGAACCAGCCTTGCATCCCTGGGATGAATCCTACTTGATCATGATGAATAAGTTTTTTGATTTGCTGTTGCAATCGGCTTGCCAATATTTTATTGAAGATTTTTGCATCTATGTTCATCATGGATATTGGCCTGAAGTTTTCTTTTCTCGTTGGGTCTCTGCCGGGTTTTGGTATCAGGATGATGTTGGTCTCATAAAATGATTTGGGAAGGATTCCCTCTTTTTGGATTGTTTGAAATAGTTTTAGAAGGAATGGTACCAGCTCCTCCTTGTGTGTCTGGTAGAATTCGGCTGTGAACCCGTCTGGACCTGGGCTTTTTTTGTGTGGTAGGCTCTTAATTGCTGCCTCAACTTCAGACCTTGTTATTGGTCTATTCATAGTTTCAGCTTTCTCCTGGTTTAGGCTTGGGAGGACACAGGAGTCCAGGAATTTATCCATTTCTTCCAGGTTTACTAATTTATGTGCATATAGTTGTTTGTAATATTCTCTGATGATGGTTTGAATTTCTGTGGAATCTGTGGTGATTTCCCCTTTATCATTTTTTATTGCATCTATTTGGTTGTTCTCTCTTTTCTTTTTAATCAATCTGGCTAGTGGTCTGTCTATTTTGTTGATCTTTTCAAAAAACCAGCTCTTGGATTTATTGATTTTTTGAAGGGTTTTTCGTGTCTCAATCTCCTTCAGCTCAGCTCTGATCTTAGTAATTTCTTGTCTTCTCCTGGGTTTTGAGTTTTTTTGATCTTGCTCCTCTAGCTCTTTCAATTTTGACGATAGGGTGTCAATTTTGGATCTCTCCATTCTCCTCATATGGGCACTTATTGCTATATACTTTCCTCTAGAGACTGCTTTAAATGTGTCCCAGAGGTTCTGGCACGTTGTGTCTTCGTTCTCATTGGTTTTGAAGAACTTCTTTATTTCTGCCTTCATTTCGTTGTTTACCCAGTCAACATTCAAGAGCCAGTTGTTCAGTTTCCATGAAGCTGTGCGGTTCTGGGTGGGTTTCTGAATTCTGAGTTCTAACTTGATTGCACTATGGTCTGAGAGGCTGTTTGTTATGATTTCAGTTGTTTTGCATTTGTTGAGCAGTGCTTTACTTCCAATTATGTGGTCAATTGTAGAGTAGGTGTGATGTGGTGCTGAGAAGAATGTGTATTCTGTGGATTTGGGGTGGAGAGTTCTGTAAATGTCTATCAGGTTTCCTTGCTCCAGGTCTGAGTTCAAGCCCTGGATATCCTTGTTGATTTTCTGTCTGGTTGATCTGTCTAGTATTGACAGTGGAGTGTTAAAGTCTCCCACTATTATTGTGTGGGAGTCTAAGTCCTTTTGTAAGTCATTAAGAACTTGCCTTATGTATCTGGGTGCTCCTGCATTGGGTCCATATATGTTTAGGATCGTTAGCTCTTCTTGTTGTATCGATACTTTTACCATTATGTAATGGCCTTCTTTGTCTGTTTTGATCTTTGTTGCTTTAAAGTCTATTTTATCAGAGATGAGAATTGCAACTCCTGCTTTTTTTTGTTTTCCATTAGCTTGGTAAATCTTCCTCCATCCCTTTATTTTGAGCCTTTGTGTATCCTTGCATGTGAGATGGGTTTCCTGGATACAGCACACTGATGGGTTTTGGATTTTTATCCAATTTGCCAGTCTGTGTCTTTTGATTGGTGCATTTAGTCCATTTACATTTAGGGTTAATATTGTTATGTGTGAATTTGATACTGCCATTTTGATGCTAAGTGGCTGTTTTGCCTGTTAGTTGTTGTAGATTCTTCATTATGTTGATGCTCTTTAGCATTTAGTGTGATTTTGGAATGGCTGGTACTGGTTGATCCTTTCTATGTGTAGTGCCTCTTTTAGGAGCTCTTGTAAAGCAGGCCTGGTGGTGACAAAAATCTCTGAGTACTTGCTTGTTCGCAAAGGATTTTATTTTTCCTTCACTTCTGAAGCTCAGTTTGGTTGGATATGAAATTCTGGGTTGAAAGTTCTTTTCTTTAAGAATGTTGAATATTGGCCCCCACTCTCTTCTGGCTTGTAGTGTTTCTGCCGAGAGATCTGCTGTGAGTCTGATGGGCTTCCCTTTGTGGGTGACCCGACCTTTCTCTCTGGCTGCCCTTAGTATTCTCTCCTTTATTTCAACCCTATTGAATCTGACGATTATGTGCCTTGGGGTTGCTCTTCTTGCGGAATATCTTTGTGGTGTTCTCTGAATTTCCTGCAATTGAGTGTTGGCCTGTCTTGCTAGGTGGGGGAAATTTTCCTGGATGATGTCCTGAAGAGTATTTTCCAGCTTGGATTCATTCTCTTCGTCCCCTTCTGGTACACCTATCAAACGTAGGTTAGGTCTTTTCACGTAGTCCCACATTTCTTGGAGACTTTGTTCATTCCTTTTTGCGCTTTTTTCTCTGATCTTGGTTTCTCGTTTTATTTCATTGAGTTGGTCTTCGACTTCAGATATTCTTTCTTCTGCTTGGTCAATTCGGCTATTGAAACTTGTGTTTGCTTCGTGAAGTTCTCATATTGTGTTTTTCAGCTCCTTTAATTCATTCATATTCCTCTCTAAGTTATCCATTCTTGTTATCATTTCCTCGAATCTTTTTTCAAATCTTTTTTCAAGGTTCTTAGTTTCTTTGCATTGATTTAATACATGATCTTTTAGCTCACAAAAGTTTCTCATTATCCATCTTCTGAAGTCTAATTCCGTCATTTCGTCACAGTCATTCTCCGTCCAGCTTTGTTCCCTTGCTGGTGAGGAGTTTTGGTCCTTTCTAGGAGGCGAGGTGTTCTGGTTTCGGGTGTTTTCCTCCTTTTTGCGCTGGTTTCTTCCCATCTTTGTGGATTTGTCCGCTGGTCGTCTGCGTAGTTGCTGACATTTTGATTGGGTCTCTGAGTGGACACCCAGAATGTTGATGATGAAGTATTTCTGTTGCTTGGTTTTCCTTCTACCAGTCTAGCCCCTTCGCTGTACGACTGCTGAGGTCTGCTCCAGACCCTGCTTGTCTGGGGTGCACCTCTAGCAGCTGTGGCACAGCGAGGGATGCTACCAGTTTCTTTTTCTGCTATCTTTGTCCCAGGATGATGCCTGCCTAATGTCAGTCTTTTGGATATAGAGGGGTCAGGGAGCTGCTTGAGGAGACAGTTTGTACTTTACAGGGGCTTAATTGCTGAGCTGTGAGCTCTGTTGTTCATTCAGGGCTGTTAGGCTGCTATGTTTGATTCTGCAGCAACAGAGCTCATTAAAAAACCCTTTTTTTTTCTCAAATGCTCTGTGTTGAGGGGTTTGGGCTTTATTTTTGGATGTCCGTTGAGGTCCTGCCCAGCTAGGACGCAGACTAGTCACTGTTTGGCTGCCGAGGCTCTGCCCTGCTGTTGTGTGATTTGCCCTGTTCCTGCAGGCTCTGCTGTGGTCTCCGCCACGCCCTGGGGTGGAGTCTCTCTGTTGTAGTGGGTTGCCTTGGCAACGGCAGGCTGCATCAGCAGTGGGCGTGTATCTCAGTAGGGACGGGTTGCCTCGGCAACAGCAGGCTGCGTCAGCAGTGGGCGTGTATCTCAGTAGGGACGGGTTGCCTCGGCAACGGCTGGCTGCGTCAGCAATGGGCGTGTATCTCAGTTGGGGCGGGTTGCCTTGGTAATGGTGGACGCCCCTCCCCCTCAGAGCGTCTTGGGCCGTCTGCCCGGGGCTTGTTTGAAATCACGGTTTTGTTCGTCCCACTGGGCCAACCCTAACGCTCTGTCCCTCTGATCCCCTGGCTGGCCCACTGTCCAAGTCTAGCTCAGTCTCAAGTCCAGCCCTTTCACGTCTCCGGTTGCCAGTTCAATGGGGCACCTGGACAAGCGCGCCCTGTGGGGAGCGCTGGGTAGGGCCGGCCGCTGCCACCCCAGCTGCCGGCTTTGCCAGGCGGAGGTTCTGCCTGGCGTCCCGCGTCTCCTCTTCACTTGGGAATTTCCCCATTCCGTGGGCAACAAAGATCAGTCTGGAAATGCAGCTCAGACTCACCTTTCCGCGGACACAATGAGATCTCCAATCCTGGGTTGTTCTCACAGCGCCATCTTGAGTCCTCCTCTTTTGCCCAGTTTTTAATTGGATTACTTGTTTTTTGCTGTTGAGTTGTTTAAGTTCCTTAGATATTATGGATATTAATCCCTTGCCAGATGCATATTTTGAAAATATGCTTGATATAATCTCATTTGTCTATTTTTGCTTTTGTTACCTGTGTTTTTGAGGTCTTATCAAAAAACTGCTTGCCCAGACCAGTGTCCTGAATCATTTCCCCCATGTTTTCTTCCAGTAGTTTTATCATTTTGAGTATTACATCTGACACTTTATTTTGAAGTGATTTTTATATATGGTGAGAGATAGAGGTCTAGTTTTATCCTTCTGCATGTGGATGTCCAGTTTTCCCAGCACCATTCATTAAAGAGACTGCCCCTTCCCCAATGTATGTGCTTGGTGCATTTGTTGAAAATCAGGTAGCTGTAAGTGCTTCTTGGTTCATAGACAACTGACTTCTCACTTTGTCCTCATATGGCAGGAAAGGGACAAGAAAGTTTTGTGGGGTCTCTTTTGAAAGAGCACTAATCCCATTCATAAGGGTGGAACCTAATCAACTCCTAATGCCATCACATTGTGGGGGGCTTAGGATTTGAACACAGGAATCTGGGGTGAACAAAACATTCAGTTCATAACAATGAGCGATAACAATTGTTTAGTTGTTAGAGATTTTTTTTCATGCAGCCTGATTACAATAGATAAGACTTACCTTTAAAAAAATTTCAGAACTTGGGGGTGGGTGTGGTGACTCATGCCTATAATCCCAGCATTTTGGGAGGCTGAGGTGGGTAGATCATCTGAGGTCAAGAGTTTGAGACTAGCCTGGTTAACATGGTGAAACCTGTCTTTACAAAAAAAAAAAAAAAAAAAAAAAATCAGAACTTGGTCTGTTAAATAGGAATTTTCTTTCAAAGTGATAGCCCTTGGAATATACTAATGGGGCTATCACAACTCAGAATATTTTTAGAACATCTTTAAAGAATTATTTTTATAATTAGTCCATAAGACCCAAAAAATGTTTCATTTTTTTCTAGTTACAGAACTTAGCTAATTATTCCTATTAAGAAGACTTAGTGCCATCACTTTGCATTTTTTTTCAGAAATGATCACATCCAACTTCAACAAACATGTAGCCATCACCAATAGGGTTATCACCTTACATGTTTTATATCCAAATGAGGGTTTTTTTCCTCCAAAACAATTTCTTCAAAGACAGAGATTCAAATATGCCCCAAAGGGCCACAGAGGAAGATTTTCAAAAATGTTTTGATCAGGGCCAGACATGGTGATGCAGTTCTACAACCCCAGTGCTTTGGGAGGCTGATGTGGGAGGGCTGTTTGAGTCCAGCAGTTTGAGGCTGCAGTGATCACATTACTGAACTCCAGCCTGGGTCACAGAGCAACACTGTTTCTCTCAAAAAAAGACAAAACTACCAAAAATGTTTACATCAATGGTGGTATTTATATTAAAATTAATTTTTAATAGCATGTTGAAGTAATTCTATTATGTGTGTAAAGAATTTTTTTAACTGGGTGTGATTTTTCTCAAGAACATATTCAGGAAGATAGCTATGATTAAGTTTTGCTAATTTTAACGATATTTTAAAATTTATTATAACGATATTTGTGTTTGGTTATTTCAAGTTAAAGGCTTATATCTTAATTTATTTCAAGTACAGATACGCTAAGATATGTTAAGAAATAGAAATTTATTGTGAGCCTCCACAGAAGCTGGACTGTGGGTTCTTGAGTTTTATTCTCTGTTGTCTCTTGCTGGCAGATCTGCTTTCATAGCTGACTTCACTTTGGTAACACCTTTGGCCCAAACAAATACAGTGTTGGATGGTCTTTGGCCCAGGTGGTGGACTCTGGTCCAGTTCATGAAGGATATCATTGATGGGTTGGTTATACTGGAAGCACATGACAAGTTTTCTCTAAATGCGGCAAAATGAGATGTTCCTGAACTCTACTCACAGTGAGCTTCCCGGCACATTCAGGATAACCCCTGTTATACATGATGTTAGGTATACAAATACAAAGATATAGTCCAAGACTTCAAGAATCTCTCCATTGGAGTAAAATGGCAGTGTTGAGGTGAGCGGCAAGGAAAGGAAAGAATAAGTAGACAAATATTCACATAACACTACATGGCTATGTGGTATAGTTAAGCTTATATGTGTAATAGAAATAAATATAAATATAATAAAATATAAATAAAATGGTATGGGAATAGAGAAACGAAAAATAGCTCAGAGAAGTCTGACTATGTGAGGTATGAAAAATTTATCAGGTCCAGAGAACATGAGTATGGGACTTTCAGTTACAGCTGCCTACCTCTACCTATGCCTGAGGACAGTAGCCTAAAGGCGTTTGTTCCAGACTTGAAGAGTCACCTGTTATCTACATGTTCCTGGAACCTGTGATACAAAGAACAATGTATAACCAGTCAAAAGCTTATGTTATTTCAATGTAAATCTTTGGTAAACAATTTAGGAACTGCCTCTTTTTTTTCCTCTAAAAACCCACTAGTAACTGCTGCTGATTCAGGACAACTGGGGAGCACAACTGAATCTGTGCTCCCCAGGTAGCAGTCCTTAAACTTGGCCCAAATAAACTTATATTTAGTTTGCCTGAGATTTTTCTTTAGGTTGATAGAACTGAGAAACCTGGAAGAGAGGATATTTTAAAGTCAATCAATAGGTTTGCAGGTCCCTCTTCAAAAAAAAAGGCAGAGAAAAGTAACAGGTAAAAGTCAATCAAGTAGAAGAAAAAACAAATTTATTTGCTGTTGCCCCAAGGAACATAACTTGGACTGATAGTTATTTTGGCTTCAATACAAAAGAATTGTTTTCTAACAGCTACAGCTGTCCAAAAAATAGATTAAACTAGGTATCTGGAAAAATAGCAGGCTATCAGTCACAGAAGTTCATACAGAAGCTATCTAATGGTAATCTTTCAGAAAGTTTCATGAGCGTTATCAAAACATGAAAGACAATGATTCCCAAGGTCCTTTTCCTGTCTAAAATTTTACTTTATGCGTTTGAGTGTTTTCTATTTGTTTAAATCAGTCTTATCACCTTCATTCACACTTTTTAGATTGTTAAAATTCATAGTACAAAACCTACAGTCAAATTTGGCTTCTCTGTAAAATTAAATGAGAGAATGAATGTAAAAGTACCTGATAGAGTGTTTGACAGTTATTAGTTGAATTTGAATCAGTAAAAAATAGGCAAGTGAAAAGAGAAGCTTTCACTCCTTTTGGGAAGGAAGATATCTAACCATCCTGCAGCTACCCAACTACCCACATCTTATTTCTTCTCCCAGTCTTAATGGAGGGTTGAAAAATGAACTTGGGTTTGTTTGCAGGAAGGACTGTTTGAAGTAAGTACCACCTGGGCTCTTTACCTGGTTACCACTCAGTTTCAGTTTTGGAACCTCTCTCTAGAATTCCCATACCCTGGACAGAGAAAATCAATAGTTTTTATAGAGTTACAATGTCTTCTTTAAAGAATGATTCACAGGCTTGTACCAGGAAAGCTGTATAATTTCTGGAGGTTTGTGGAAAGTGGAAGTTAATCTATAGACTTCTATTGTGTTCATTAGTTAGCAATTTAAGCAAGAGGGAAAAAAGATGAATCTGTTACTGGTCAGTTTAACTTTTGATACTGGCTTTAATTAAAGGATTAGTTGGAAATTTAGTTAAAGCTAATATTTAAAATTGTATTTTTACTTGTTACATATGAGTTTCATGGTCCTTGTTTACAGTACCATCATTAAGGTGGATTTATCAAGATTTGCTTTACAGAAGCATAGATAATAATGAGAGCACCTACTATGTAATTTACATGTACTATCTCTTTAACAAGACACAGTCTAGCATTTCTATTATACAGATTAAGATACTAAGGTTCCAGAGCTTGTTAATGATGGAGTCACAACTCAAATCTACATGATTTGTTCTTACAGCTCACAGTCTCAACGGTGTTAAAGAAAACCAGAGCCAGACAGTAGATAAAGTGGTAAAAACAGGTTTTACTCAGGAACTATTGCAATAGAGGGAAAGAGACCTCAAGGAGAGGGTCTTTGTCACCTATTACACAATAATGCCTTGGGTTTACTAAACAAGCTTCTTAACAGAATGCGGATGGTCAATCTTTGTCTCCTTCTCTGAGCTGCAGATCATTTTAGAATTCTCATGAATTATCTTTCCAACATGAACAAAGGGATGGACTATTACCAAGTAGTGTCATGTGTGGGGAAACTGATTTCTGTCTAACCTCAGGTACCTTCTTGCCTTGTACAGAGGCTCAACTTGTCTCAGCACTACTTGTTACATAGTCTTTTCTTTTCCACCAATTTGTATTATTGCCTTTCAGCTGCTTTTAACTGATATACATAACTTTGTATTTTCATTTTATAGGAATCTGTATTTACTGTCCCCTAAACTTAACTAGACCCCCGATATGTTCACCCATTATAGTGAATTGTTCATATTGATATGAAGTTTCACTGGACTGGGGACTATGTTCACTGTTGTATTTCCAGTACCTGGTGCAGTACCTGCCACAGAATTGGGTCTCAATAAATATTTTCTGAATGAATGAATGAGCCCAGTTTAAGATCCATCTAGCTGTGAATCTGTCCTGGGATGTAGATTCTACAAAATTCAACAGGTTTTATATTTTACAGTGACTGGTAAAATGAGCTTTTCCTTTTCAGTAGCATGGGCTCCCTCAGTCTATTGTTATTCTCTGCATAACATTTTGAGTCTTCCTAGATTCCTCTCTTACCTGACCTTGGCATAATTTCTACTTTCTTAAATATTGGAGTATATATTTTCTGCTCTCACTATGCTTGCATTTTAGTTCAAGTCTTTTTTCCTTTCTTTTGTTATCTTTTATATGTGGTGTTTGTTACATGCATAAGAATATGTGTAATGCAAAATAATGAAGCATAATTACATTTACACTCATGAAACCACTACCGACCTGACAATGATAACATCATCCATCCATTGCCTCTACTTATATGCACCTCCCTACCCACTCCTCTGCCTCCACCTGAGTTAATCCCTGTCTTGAAGTTGGGTTTCTCCTCTTCTTGCTTTAATGTTCTTTTCTAATATAATTTATTACATGTATCAATATTCATAAATATATATTCTATAGATTTACTTGTTATTGATCTTCATAAGAATACTTTCATACTTTGTGGTCTTCTGGAATTTTTCATTCAATATTATGCTTCTAAGATTCATCCACACTGTTGTGTGTGGCTATGGTGCATTAATTTCATTAATGAACATAATAACATTACATTGTAACATACTACAATTTGTCTATTCTTCTTAATATTAGTTTAGATTGTTTCCAGGGTTTTGCTATTTCTGACAGGGCTGCTACAAACGTTGTATGTCTCTTGGTTCACACCTGCAAAGTTTCTCTAGGCCTTATACCAAGATGTAGACTTTCTAGGTAAAAGGGTATGCAAATGTTCAACTTTAAAAGATAATACCACCTGGATGCAGTGGCTCATGCCTATACCCCAGCTGTTGGAGAGGCTGAGGCAGGACAGCATTGAGCCCAGAAGTTTGAGGCAAACCTGTGCAATATAGTGAGACTCCACTTAAAAAAAAAATTTTAATAGAAATCAATTTAAAAACTAAAAAGATAATACTAAATTGTCTTCAAAGTTGTCTATTTAAAGTCATGCCAGTAAAGTATAAAAGTCCCCATTGATCTATATCCTTTCCAACAGTTGGCATGACCAGATTTATTAATCGTTCTCTTTATTAGATGTAAAATTATGTCTTCTTTAGTTAAAATTTGTATTCCTCTGCAGCAGAGTTTGAAATTGTTTTTTAAAGCTTGTTGACCCTTCACATTTACATTTCTGTGAAACATTTATCTTTTGCCCATTTTAAAATTGAGTTATTTGAGTTTTTCTTATTGAATTAAAGTTCTTTATATATTTCGATGCAAATTATTTGTTACCTACAAGTATTACCAATATTTTCTCCCAGTCTATGGCTTGCCTTTTCACTTTCTTTATGGTATCTTTATAAACAGAAGTTTTAAATTGTAATGAAGTTGAGTTTATCAATCTTTTCTATTGTAATCAGAAGTTTTAATCTTGTTTTTTAAAAATCCAGTACTAACCTAAGTTTTATAAATATGCTGTCTTATATAATACTTTCTTTTAAGGATTCAAAAGTTTTGTATTTCACATTTAAGATGCACATGGAACTAATTCTTGTGTTCATGGTGGAAGTAGGGCTCCAATTTAATTTTTTCCATATGGATAAACAGTTATCCTAGAAGAGCATTTATTTAGACTGAAAATAGTCACTGTATATTGCTATTAGAGAAAAACATGTCATATAACAAAATATATGGCATTTAGAAAACATAAAATATAATACATACAGTAATTAGTATATAGACAAAATTTAAAGAAAAGATGTTATAAAGACATACACCAAAATGACAACAGTGATTATCTTTGGATGGTGAAGTTGTCAGTTATTTCATTTATTTATTTTGTTCTTCTCTATATTTTCCAAATTCTCTATATAGAGTATACATTCATATATTTTTCTAAATACTGGGAAATAAGGTAGTACCTATAGGTGATAATGTAGTGTCAGTGTAAATTAGAAACTATTCATTGAAAGAGAAGCCATGAATTCAAATATTCTAGCTTAACTGCTTTTTAAAAGCTTCTTCCATTTCTGATGCAAAAAAAAAAAAAAAACCAATATTGGTGGATTATGCAGTAAGTCTCAGTAGAAGGTGTAAAAGAGTTAAGTTCTGAAACCTGTGTAATTATTCTATATATAGTTGTATAAAATTTTCCTCCCCTGAGTTGTTTGCTTTACAGGTATGTAAGTTTCTTTGGAAAATAGGATTTGGGGCACTTATGTATATCACTGAAGAGTTAATCATTTATTTTTGCCCAACAGCAGATAATGAAAAGACTTATAAAGCGGTATGTTTTGAAAGCACAAGTAGACAAAGAAAATGATGAAGTTAATGAAGGTAAGCATCTCCAACTTGAGAAACATCCTTTAATAACTATCTTAATGAACCAGGAAAACTTCAAGTTGAGGCATACCTTAAAAATCCAATCCCAGATTACAGTTTGGATGGCTCCAAGATGGGAGGAAGATCTTATACTACATTTCTTTTCTTTTCTTTTCTTTTTTTTTTTAAGACAGTCTTGCTTTGTTGCCAGGCACCAGGCTAGAGTGCAGTGGCATGATCTTGGCTCACTGCAACCTCCGCCTCCTGGGTTCAAGCAAATCTCCTGCCTCAGCCTCCCAAGTAGCTGGGACTACAGGCGCATGCCACCATGCCCAGCTAATTTTTGTATTTTAGTAGAGATGGGGTTTCACCAGGTTGGCCAGGATGGTCTCGATCTCTTGACCTTGTGATCCACCCGCCTCGGCCTCCCAAAGTGCTAGGATTACAGGCATGAAGCACCATGCCCGACCCTTATGTTATATTTCTAAAACATCTTTTAAAATAAACAGTTACTTAAAATATTGATCAGAGACAATTTATGTCTACTCAGAGTGCCCTGATTCTTAGAATGTAAAGACTGACATCTCTCTAGGAGTTTTTTAATGCTTCCGACATAAGGTAGTCAGTAGTATCAGTTAAGTTTTCAATGAGTTCACATTAGTGTTAACATTTTTCCAGTTACGCAGATAAAACAGTGACTACAGAATTCATGTCTTCAGGGAAACCTCTATTTTGTTGTCCAGAAACACATTTTTAACCTGTTTTTCTTGTCTAGTACTTCTCTTTTGAATTTTACTTTCCTCCCTGCCTCCTTACTTTAAGCAAGCTCATTTTTAAAGGCATATTTGAGGCAGGGCATCTATCTGGACTAAACATTTTTTTTACCAAAGTCTAAGGGATAGAGCTAAACATAGGCCCAGAGTTTGAAAGAAATCAATCAGAGAGAAATAAGTTGTCCTAAAAATGGAAACTGTACCTTCCAACACCAGTGAGATGCCACTAGATCTATCTACACTGATAAGAAAGGGCTAAACTTAATAAAATTTTTAATGGGCTTAGAAGCCATTACTTGATTAATATAAGGAATTTCTTGTAAATTTAAATCAATCCAATACTATATGTATATAGAAAAGAAACCTATAAATTTTTAATTCATAACTAGCAAAAATCTAATCATGGTGACCTAGAAACTATCTCAGGAGAAAGGACTGGAATTCGGCTGTAGTTTAGAAAGCAGAAGTCTCATCAATTGTACCCTAACCTCCATGGGGGGAACAAAAGTGAGAAGAATTGTATGACCAAAACAGCATAAAAAAACAAGAAGCATTTCCAAAGCCCTTGCACAAAATTGGAAAATCAATGAGAATTTGGAGTTTTGAACAAAGTTCTTACTAGAAACGTGTAGTGTATAACCTCCTCATTTAATTTATGAGGAAACTAAAGTCTGAAAAGGTTGAGTAACTTATGTTTCCTGAACTGGTAAACTAAACAGTTAATACAACACATAGGTCGTAGTCTCCCATGAGTTGGGAACAAGGAAGAAAGGATAGAAGGTGAAGTGGGGCAGGGAGGTCCACTATGGTACTGAATGGTCTGAGAATCCACTCCTTCCACTGAAGTCTGCCTCATGATTTCAAATGAGATCAGTTTATTTCTTTTATATTGCCATATGCCTCAAGAGCAAGATAATGGTAGAAATATATATACATATATATATATATATATGTATATAGCCATATGCCAAAGAAAGAACCTTTTTGTGACAAAGGATTCCTCAAATGTTTTCTGTGTATTCCTGAGAGTTAAGATTTTTTCAAATAAAAAGGTTCTGACTTTTATATAAGAGAAGAATATTGAAATTTTACTTTAAAGCATATTAAAGATACCAGGAACTGTTATCAAAGGTTGTGCTTTAAATGCCATTTTACTATAAAAGTCTAAGTCAATGGTTTGAAGAATTATTTCTTAGATTCAAGATAAATTCTTGCTCTAACATTCACTTTTGAAAGTCAGTGGATTTATCTACATTACAGTCACTTTCAAGAGAATCCAGCATTTCTTTTTTTTCTTCCTTAACCAAATACTGCCTCTCCTTGAAGAGAATCCAGTTTTTAATTGCAATATATATAAGCTCAAAATACTGCAAAACTGAATTATGGGAGCAATTGATTTTTACAGCCCAAACTCTCCTATTCTCTTCAAGAGTATAGAGTCTACCCATTGCCAATGATATCATATCTAAACTCCTCAATTGTACTGTTGCTTGTTACTTCCTTATGCATTGATCCTTTGTGCTGGACAAACTAATGTCTTTATGTCCATCGCCACTGCCTTCCCTAATAAACGCTTCCTACTCTTTTTCCTTTCTTTCCTTTACTTCAAATTTGCCTCAAAATTATTTGCCTGTCAGACAGACTGATTCATTTTTAGTAAAGTTTCGTTTTTCTAGGATTCCCTTTGATACTAGCAATGGGAGATGTTTGATGCAGGTGTCAACTTTTATACTTGAAAGAAACAAAGGGACTCCCTTGTAGTCAGAAAGGAGATAAACTGGCTGTAGATCAGTTAACAGAGAATCACCTTATGTTAAAAGGTGGGTGAACAAAAGAACAAGACTTTAAGCTGTGTGTTACTATTAAAAAATATAGCTGGGCTATTTTTATAGATTTGTTTCAAAGGTCAGTATACTTTTAAAGACAGATGTTTCTGAAATATTTTAAAGAAAAAAACTTTGAAGTAGCTACCTTGGAAAATTTATGAAGCAAATACATTGATATTGTAAGAATTTCACTCTTTGTTCTTTTCTAAATCCAAAGAGCAACTTACCAATGACTTTTTAATATCAATGCTACAGGTGAATTAAAAGAAATCAAGCAAGATATCTCCAGCCTTCGTTATGAACTTCTGGAGGACAAGAGCCAAGCAACTGAGGAATTAGCCATTCTAATTCATAAACTTAGTGAGAAACTGAATCCCAGCATGCTGAGATGCGAATGATGCAGCAACCTGGAATTTGGCTTTGACTATAGCACAAATGTGGGCAATAATATTTCTAAGTATGAAATACTTGAAAAACTATGGTGTAAATTTTTAGTATTAACTACCTTTATTATGTGAATCTTTAAAAGTTAGCTCTTAATGATTTTATTGTTTTATCACATGAAAATGCATTTTATTTGTCTGCCTTCACATTACAATGACATACCATTGTGTTGAAAAGCCCAGTTTTACTATATTATTGAAATTTTTATTCATTTTAGAGTAAATGCCACATCTTTGCACTACCTGTTTGCTGCCAAGAGACTATCAGTTCCTTGGGAACAGGGACTCTGTCTTATTAATCTTTGTGTCTCCAGCATCTAGTACAGTGCCTGGTACATAGTAGGTGCTCAATAAATGTTGAAACCAACTGAATTGAACTGCCAACAAAATACAAATAAAAAGTCCTCACTATGTAGCATACCTTCCCTTGTCCAAGTTCTGAAGAAATCTTTTTTTTTAAATAGAAACTGAAGAAATTTTACAATCAGCTATGACTTGGTAAGACATTCTTAGAATTTTAGGTGTTACTGAGAATCCTAGAACCATTGAGCCCCGAGTGAAGAATTTAACAGCAAAATGGGTTAATGGAAAATATAATTACATTATATATTTAAGTTTCATAGAATTATTTAAAACAACACATTAAAGAGTTTTCTAAAATATACACTGCTTTCTGTCTTAGACTTACGTTTATTGTTTTTCAGTAATGTGATTTTCTTTTAAGTTGGGGGTTACGCAGGTTTGTCATTTTGTTATAACTGTCTAATTTCTGCCTCTGCTGCTTTAATGTTAAATGAGATATCAACAGCTCACTTCATATCTCACCCGTGAGCTCCCTTCTGAGTTTTGGTGGGTCTGCTTGTGGGAAGAAATAGGAAAGAGCAACGACTCTAGGCATACCTGGAAAGACATGGCCAAGCATCCCCAGGTGTGTTTAGGTTCTTTTTGAGGCATTTCTTGCCATTATTGCTTACAGTCATTGACATCTTTTTTCTTATCAAAAGATTTCAGTTCTTTCTATATAAAATTGATTGTGATATATCTATATATGCCTTATTACCTAATTGAGCTGAGTGCTGGCAATACCCGAAATGCCTCTTGACTTTAATGGGAAAAGGCATAAAGGCCAATAAGTTCACCAGTCACTTCACAGACTACAAAAAACTCAAAGCATTTTTTTTTAACCAGCTAGCTTTAAATCTCTCATAGAATTATGTTTAGCATCCTGAGTCTCTTCAGTCATTTGCTGTCAAGTCTTATAGGAATATGAATTATGATCATAGCTCAAAGAGTTTCAGAGATCCTTAAAACCAACTAAATACATGCTACTTTAAAATCATTGCTATCACACAGAAAATCTTTCTAGACATGAAGACAGAAATAAGTGCTAAATGGAACTACGTAAATCTCTTTAAAGATTATTTCTTAATTTCTACCTTTGGGGAGTTAAATTTAAGAAAGGAACTTTATAAATTTTTGCTACCATTGTAGAACATTTCATTAACTTTTGCGCCATGCTAATAGTATCTTATTTTTCAAACTTTATGTATTCTATGTTGTGTCTCAGAACTGAATATTGAATTTTTCCATTGTTATATATTACCATATGTTGTATTAAGATAGTAAAGATGCAAAGTTTCTATAATAGACGATACTGATAGTTTTATAATATGGTCCAGGATTCCAAGTGTGAAAGTTTTTGCTTATAGCTATGGATCTGAATATTTTGTAATTTTCTTCCTTGGGGTTGGAAAAAATGCTGAATGAAAAAGTGGCAGATTCAGCTGGGAACAGAGCTCCTAACAGGCATTTTTTCTTTATTTACTATGTTTGTATAAACTGGTATAATTTTAATATTCATCTTTTTCCTTATTCATAATATCAAGGTTTTATTTCAAAAGAAGGTGTGATGACAGGGTATAGTAAGTGTGGTTGATGTTTTTGATGCCCTGCCCAGATGCCCTCTATTGGGCCAGTGTACCCATCTCCCAGATACTTCTGTCCAGTTCCCAGCTAATCACTTCTGTCAGAGAATTGCCCTCAGCTAAAAAGAAGTAGCATTACCCTGGATGTGATGCTTCCCCCTCCACATGGCCTGTGACTGATGGGTGGGGACACACACAAGGGCTGGTCCCCTGTCTCAAAGTAGGGCCAACTATTTGGTGCGGTTCATGATCCAGAACTCTTGAAAGAATTAGGCTGCTGCCAGACTCAAGCTGAGATGGAATCTTTGTTTAGCTTCTTCCTCTGCCTTTTCCTGTTTCCTTCCCTCTGTTTCTCCAGCGAGCAAGCCTCCAATGAGTCACCACATCCACATCTTGTTAGGTTTTGCTTTTAGGGAACCCACAGTAAGACATAAGGCATTAATGTGGTAGCATACAGTTGAGATGAGGATTAGTTGAGCGGATTGCTGTCAGAATTAGTCCTTTACTTGAGGATAAAGATAGCTCTGGGTCAGCAAGTCCTTTCCCTACTCACTTTTAACAGGCACCTTTGGGAAAACAAAGCTCAAAGAGGTTGTTGGGGCAAATCAGAGAAGGGAGCATTTAAACAGGACCAAAAACAACTTTCTAGAAAATAAAAAAATTGAAGGATTGTCAAAGCCCCAGGACTCTTCTTTCCTTGTGACATCTCTTGTTTTTTTACCTCTTTGCTATTCTTATTTTTTTCTCAGTTACAGATAAACAAAGAAAAGAAAGTTACAGATAAAATAAAGAAAAGAAAACTGCTTCTTAGACTTACTATTTCAAAAGTTGGGTACTTTGTTAAGTGCCTGCTATATTGAATTTATAGAGCACCTGTGACTTTATGGAAGTCACAATCTGTTCAAAAGCTTGGGTTCATAGACTTGAAATAATTAGAAAACTTTGAAAAATGGTACACAGTATCGTCAAAGGGTTCATGCACAATAAAAATTGAGAAATGATACATAATTAAAAGTAAATGTAGTATAATTTAGGATAACTATCTTACCCAATATGTCAATATATTTATGTTTCAAATGTGCCAGCCAAATGAAACCAGCTTTTGTAAATGGGCAGATAAATTGTCTTATGGACAATGTCTAAAGAGAATTGAAGCCACACTAATTATTGTGGTGTGGGACAAATTTAACTTCTCTGGTCTTCATAAATAGTTCAAGCAAACAGGGTTATGCTACATCAGGGGTTCCTAGTCCCTGGGGCTCATAGAGGTGTTTCAGCAGGGTCGTCATTATCCAAGGTGGTAATAATTGCTCTTTCTGTGTCTTTTTTTATTTTTAAATAAATTTTAAAAAATATATTTTTAGAGACAGGGGTCTCACTACATTGTCCAGGTTAGTATTGAACTCCTGGCCTCAAGCAATTCTCCTGCCTTAGCCTTCCAAAATCAGGCTGGGCACAATGGTGCACACCTGTAATCCCAGCACTTTCGGAGGCTGAAGCAGGTCGATGGCTTCCGTTCAGGAGTTTGAGACCTGCAGGGCAACATGATAAAACTGTCTCCACAAAAAAAATACAAAAAATCGGCCACATGTGGTGGCACATGCCTGTAGTCCCAGCTACCCAGGAGGCTAGTGTGAGAGGATAACCTGAGCCTGGGAAGTTGAGGCTGCAGTGAGTTGTGTTCACACCACCGCACTCCAGCCTGGGTGACAAAGTGAAACCCCACCAAAAAACAAAAAAACCTAAAATGGGTATCTATAACTTTGTTCCTTTTTTAAAGAGTTTGAAAAATTTTTAAATTTATACCATGTGTTAGGGGAAACTAATGTTTTTGCTCATGACTCAGTCACTCAGCTGACCACCACTAGCGTGTTGATGATTTTAACTTTAATGCAGTTTAAATTGCTTTCATTTTTAGCCATAAGTTGTTTAACTTATACCCATAATAGTTGCTTTAGCACCATAATGTAAGATTATAAATTACTGAGGTGCACGATAATTCTGCAAATTTGTCTCAAAGTGGTCTTTAATTGCATCTGAGAGGTAATCATCTTCTGTTGATTTTTATAAACACCACCAAGATGTCTCTGGTACCTTAAAACATCTTTAAAAAGAGGAAATACAGTGGTAATTTAATGTAACTTGACATTTTCTTTATAGTGAACAAAAATTCCTCACCCTGCTAATTAGTTATTTGAGAAATACTTAAAATTAGTGGTTTGAAACCTTTGGTAATCATTTCAAAACCATAGTATGTACTTGAATAAATCATAAATTGCACTTTTAGATGCAAAATCAAAGAATTCCAGCTATCATATTATGCAAACTTTTTGTCTTGTTCTGATGCTATATCATAGCCTCATTTCACTGTTTTAAAATAAATTAGAGCTTCAAAATAAACTCTTACTTTTTTTCTACACAATTAATTAAACAGTGGACATCACTTGTTAAAAACGGAAGATAAGCACTACTGGCATTGTCTGTTTTTGTTTTTTATCTATTTATTGGAATCATAGTATTTCTTCATTATTAATTTGTATGAACTATTTTTAAGATATCAACTCTTTTCTCCCTTATTTTTGTTGATGTTTAAACATTTTTGTGACACATTGAAATGTTTAACTATCTTTACTTTTCATATGTTTTAAGTTAGTTTTTTTTTTCTTTTTAAGAGATGGGGCCTTGCTATTTTGCCCAGGCTGGATTCTTGGGCTCAAGCAATCTTCTTGCCTCAGCCTTCAAATAGCAGAGACGACAGGCATGTGCCACCAAATCTGTTTTTTTCTTTGTGGTTTCTTCTATTCCTTTTGAGATCAGTTTCCTTCCGTTATTGGCTAAATTGTGTCCCCTCAAAACTCGTTAAAATCCTCACCCTCAGTATCTCAGACTATAACTATAGTTGGAGATATGTTCTTTAAAGAGGCAATTAATTTAAAATGAGATAATCTCATTGGACCTTTATTCACTATGACTGGTGTCCTTATAAAAAGACAAGATATGACACAGACAGACATAGAGGGAGAATCATGTGAAGACACAAGAAGACAGGGATCTACAATCCAAGAAAAGAGGCCACTGAGGATTGGTTTGATTCCCTGCTGACACCTTGATTTATGACTTTTAGACTCCAGGAGTGTGAGAAAATAAATTGCTGTTGTTTTAAAGCCTTCCAGTGTGTGGTACTTTGCTATGGTAGCCCTGGCAAACTAATAATATACCCTCAAACCTCCAAAATGCCATAAAATGCTATACAATTCTATTCTCTCTCTTCTATGGCTTTATTTTTCAGTAGACTTCTAAAATTTATCTGTATTTTTTTCTTGAATCTAAATTGATATGTATTTCTCCAAAATTGCTAAACAGCTAACCCATCTTCGTGTATTGTCTATTTTAGTGTGGAGTTATTTTAGCCTCAGAGAAATAATTGTCTGGATCTGAGACCTGGGGAAAACTTTTTCAAATACTGCTGCAGTAAATAACTTCTCTTCCTAAGAAGCACCTATTTTCAGGGGTTTAATTCTTTCTGTTTCACAATTATTTGTGAACTCTTTCCTGGAAAACCACAGTGGCTCATGTCTGTAATCCCAGAACTTTGGGAGGCTGAGGTGGGTGGATTGCTTGAGCTCAGCGGTTCAAGACCAGCCTGGGCAACATGGCAAAACTCTATCTCTACAAAAAAACAGAAAAGAAAGAAAGAAAGCAAGAAACCACAAAAATCAGGAAAGTCGCTGTATCTGAACTCATCTGTATTTCCCCAGGCAGACCTCTATGCTCATTAAGGAAGGACTAATGAAAGAGAGTCAAAGAATGTCAGTTCTTAGTCATGTCCTGGGTCACTATGGGTCAGCAGCAGTCTGTGGGGCCCTGAGGGGCAGGGGTGGTTCCTGAGGCCTTGTCACAGCTGTCTGCAACTTAGAAACTATTTTCATAACACTAAGATGTTTTTTGCCATTTCACTATGCTGACATTTGCTCTGATGGTACCAAAACAATGGTGGTTAATACTGCTAGTGCTCAAGCATAAATAAAAATAGTGGCTTTGAACTGTACTTGTAGACACTATATTCTATATGCCACGCACTGATAGGAAACAAAAACCATTTCATATAAAAATGTCCTTTATGAAGCAGCAAAATTGTTAATATTGCCTTTTTTTCTCTTTCTTCTGATTCAGCCCTCATTTTTTACATCTTAACTCTTGAATACATCTTTTTAAATATTCTATGTGATGACAGAAGAAGTATGTATAAAATCCTTCTGCTGAATACTGAAATACATTAGTTGTCTCAAGGAAAAGCACTTGGGGGATTGAGCTGCTAGCTGAACTTGCTGCTTTTCTCACGGAACACTTTTTATTTGAAGAAATTACTGACAAATTATGATTTTTCAGACTTAGATATTTGGCATTTATTTTTGTGTGAATTCAAGAAAGGAACAAAATATTTGGCATTTATTTTTTTGTGAATTCAAAGAAAGGAACCTATGAGTTCAAGGAAAACAACTCGCATTAATTGCCAATGTGTAAATTTCAAACTTTCAAGCACAAATTCGAATTTTGGGAAACATGTATTCACCATCAGTTTGACAGATCTCCCATACTCGAGACTTTTTTAATGAGATCCATGGTGATACTAACAGATGGGATTTTTTGATGTTACGTAATGAAGTCACATTCCACATTGCAACTAACCTTTCAAAAAACTGCCACTTGTTGAGTTTGGACCAAATTTTCTTTATATACATGAACAAAAACAACATATAACAATAGATTGACTGCAGTAGCAGATTTGAAGCTCCTCCTGTCTACTATTAAAATGGACAGAAAATAGATTTGTGTACAGTGCCAGTTTCATTTCATTTTTTTATTTTGGAAAATATTTTTTTTCATTAAGGTATTTGTCACAGGTTTTTAAAACTACACTAATTTTCAGTTCTAATGTCTAATATGGTAAAAACTAATAGATAACTCATATAAACAAACTGTCTTCATATTTTCCAAAGCCATCCACAGATTAAGTGCAATTCCCATCAAAATACTGTTACTATTTTTCACAGAACTAAAAAAAAATTCTAAAATTCATATGGAACCAAAAAGAGTCTGAATAGCCAAAGAAATACTAAGCAAAAGAACAAATTTGGAGGCATGCTATTACCAGACTTCAAATTATACTGCAAAGCTAGTTACCAAAACAGCATGGTACTGGTAAAAAAGTAGACACATAGGCCAATTAAACAGAATAGAGAACCCAGAAATAAAGCCAAGTACTTACAGTCAACTAATCTTCGACAAAGCATACGAAAAAATAAATGGGAAAAAAGGCACCCTATTCAATAAATGGTGCTGGGAACACTGGTTAGCCACATGTAGAAGAATAAAACTGGATTCCCATCTCTCACCTTATACAAAAATCAACTCAAGATGAATCAAAGACTTAAATCTAAGACCTGACATCATAAAGATTTTAGAAGATAACATTGGAAAAACTCTTTTGGACATTAGCTAAATGCAACAAAAACAGAAATAAATAAATGAGACCTAATTTAACTAAAAAGCTTGTGCAAAGCAAAAGAAATTATCAGCAGAGTAAATAGCCCACAGAGTATGAGAAAATATTTGCAAACTATGCATCTGATAAAGGACTTGTATCCAGAATCTACAAGGAACTCAAACAACTCAGCGAGGAAAAACCAAATAATCCCATCAAAAAGTGGTCAAAGGACATTTCTCAAAAGAAGATATACAAATAGCTAACAAGGCCGGGCGCGGTGGCTCAAGCCTGTAATCCCAGCACTTTGGGAGGCCGAGGGGGGTGGACCACGAGGTCAAGAGATCGAGACCATCCTGGTCAACATGGTGAAACTCCGTCTCTATTAAAGATACAAAAAATTAGCTGGACATGGTGGCGCGTGCCTGTAATCCCAGCTACTCAGGAGGCTGAGGCAGGAGAATTGCCTGAACCCAGGAGGCGGAGGTTGCGGTGAGCCGAGATCGCGCCATTGCACTCCAGCCTGGGTAACAAGAGCGAAACTCCGTCGCAAAAAAAAAAAAAAAAAAAAAAAAAAAAATTAAAAATTAAAAATGAGAGAAAACCCACCAAAAGCAAATGGTCTTTGTGGCCCTTAATGGTTTTTAAGAGTTTTGTAAAGGAGTCCTAAGACCAAAAGTTTGAGAACTGCTGCCCTTTCCAGTGTCGGAGTGAAATCGGTCAGAATCTACCGAGGCTTAACGAGTTTGTTGTACAGCGATGGGTAAACAAGCCGAGGACTAGCTCTGAGCAGCGGTGAGGTTGGAGCCAAGCCTGCGTCTGGGGTCTCTGTGGAAACCGCCCTGGGTCTACGGTACCTCGCGTCCTTGGTTCCTCTCCGCCTCTGATTGGAACACGCTGTCAGTGGGCGGTGCTTCTGGAAAGGGGCGACCCTTCATCTTCTTCCAGGAGCCACTCGCAGCAGCGTATTGACGTCACGCCGGACGCCGCTACCCTGTCGCCCAGCCTGTACTGCCCCGGACGTGGGCGCGGTTGCTGGGGCTGGCCTCTGAGTGGGTGCCGGCGGCTTTCTGACTAGATCCGAGATCTGCGGGACCAAAGCCTCTGTCCCTCCTGTTCTTGTCCGGCGCTGCCTATCCCTTCCACGTAGTCATCATGGATCTGATTTTAAACCGAATGGATTATTTACAGGTAAACCCAAGGGATGGGGCGGGCGCCGCGCTGGACAAGCCCAGCTCCCTCCCAGAGAGGATTCCTTCCTTCCACTGAGGAAAGTCTAGGTCGCCAGGAGCGGGTGCGGAGGCTAAGGATCCGGTTGGGTGCTGCCCTCCCAGCACCCCGCCTTTGGGCAGCTCTCGTTTGTCTGTGACGGTCCGCGGAGACTGGGAAAAAGTGGCGCAGGCACCCGCCGTGCGGCTCCTGCCGGCACCTGAGGATACTACTCTGAATGTGTTGACACAATCTGATCCCGGATTCCCCCCGGGACCCTCCTCCTTCTCCTCAGCCGCGGCTGCCTGAAGGCCTCTATCTCCTGAATCTCCATCTTCCGGCCCCTTCTCCCGAGCACGTGGCACTTGTTTGTTTCTTACTGTGAGCTGGACCACACCATGCAGATCATAATAAAAGCAATGAAAACTAGGCCTGGGGCAGTGGCACAAGCCTGTAATCCCAGCACTTTCGGTGGCGTAGGCGGGCGGATCACAAGAGGTCAGCAGTTCAAGACCAGCCTGGCCAACATGGTTACACCTCGTCTCCACAAAAAGTATAAAAATTAGCCGGGCGTGGTGGTGCGCGCTTGTAAACCCAGCTACTCTGGAGACTGGGGCAGGAGAATCGCTTGAACTCAGGAGGCGGAGGCTGCAGTGAGCTGAGATCACACCACTGCACTCCAGCCTGGGCAACAGAGTGAGACAAAAGGAAAAAACAAACAAACGAAAAGCAATGACAACAGTTTAATGTGCATCCAGTTCATTCTAAGAATTTAGCATACTAGGGAGTTGCTGTTTGAATCAAAGTCTCGGACTCCAGAACTGGTGTTATTTTTGTTACACCACATTGCCTTTCAGAATTTCTTTCAGCCCTAAAATTCTCTCTTACCCCAATTCCTCCTCATCTTTTTTGGTCATCTCATTTTAGCTAATGGTACAAATGTTTGCTGAGTCAATTTTCTAGGAGTTTATGCTAAGTACTTCCCACCTTAATATCTTCTATATCCAACTGGTCACTACATCTTGCTGCTTTTAACTCCCAAATATCTCTTGAATCTGTCCCATATCTTCTATCTCTGTGACCCTCATTTGGGTTCTCAAGCAATTATTCTCTTGCTTGAATAATTGAAATAGCCTCCAGATTGGGCTCCTGAACTTCAGCTTCATCTCCCTCCAAGCCATCCTTCACATCATTTGCTAGACTGACGCTTCAGAAATACAAATCTAAGCAGATTACTTTAATACAATTTTCTGGAATGCAGAATAAAGTCATTTATACTATATGAACGTTTTGTCATGATCTGTTGTTTTCACCAATTTCTATTCCATTGGTCCCATCCTCCTAACAATTCACCAGTGTGACAGTTCCTTGCTCTTTTCATCTTTTGTATTTTTTTGCAAAATAATATTTTTTCACCCATTAGATTGGATATTATGCCCATAATCATGTTTGATATTTTAGCAGAAATCTTCAATGTTGCCTTTTTTTTTTTTTCTTTTTTCTGAGACAGGGTCTTGCACTGTCACCCAGGCAGTCTGGAGTACAGTGGCATGATCATGACTCACTACAGCCTCAAATTCCTGGATTCAAGTTATCCTCCTGCCTCAGCCTTCCAAGTAGCTAGGCCTACAGGCATGCACCACCATGCCTAGCCAGTTTATTATTATTTGTAGAGACAGAGGCTCCCTGTGTTGCCTAGATGGTGTTGAAACCCTGGGCTCAAGTGATCCTCCCACCTTGGCCTCCCAAAGTGCTGAGATTATAGGCATGAGCTACTGCATGTGGTCTTACGTTGCATTTTTAATAACTGAAATCTATTTTCAAAGATCTTGAATAACTTTACAGAACAACTATATGCAGTTGGAAAAGAAGGCTTCTAGAGATATTTTTTGTGTTTCCACCATAGAAAGCATTGTCGAAGTAACTGCTGAGCTAAAGCCGGCCTGAGATATTTTTTAATAAAGCATTTTGCCAGTCATCTTACACAACTATTTTTGGCTTGTCTTTATAGGATAAATTTTACTATTTTGGTTGTTTCCTATATGTATTCTGACCAATGTAGCATATTTCATTAGAAAGTAAGTTAATTACTGATAATAATAGTTATATCACTAATTTCAGTTTAACAAAAAGTTCACTGTAGCCTAAATCTGCTGATCATTTCAATCTCTATAATAACTTCAAATTAAATTCATTAGGTGGCTGGTGTTTTTCTTTAGGTGGGAGCAACATCTCAGAAGACTATGAAGCTACTTCCTGCCTCCAGACACAGAGCTACACAAAAGGTACTGTACAGATTCTGATTTCTCTACTATTCCCTTGCACTGACAGAGGAGAGGCTCCTATCTCCTTCTTTATTATTAAGTTATTCTCTTAAAAATGCTAATTTTAAAATGGAAATTATTATTTTTTTAAATTTGAACAGAGATTGGAATACCAAGGGACATTTATAGACAATAATTTTCTTTGACATTAAAATTATTATATACCATTAGTAAATAGTGTAAGCAAAATTAAAACCCATACTTCAATTTTTCTGTATCAGATGTGTATATGAACAAAGAAATATAAAGCAGAATAAGATATCAAGAAAAGGCTCTCTTTAAACTTTCTCTATTTTAAAGTCATTAAATATTTTGATGTTGAACTTTATATTTAATTAAAATATTGATTATGTTTATAGAAATATCGATCCTGTGATGTTCACAAAACCATTATGGTTTCTTAGTAGACTAGCCAAGTATTTTAATAGCTGCAAAACATACTTTATTCTGATATATCAGCATTTTAGCAAGATGAATCAACAATTCCACATAGTACTAGAAGTCCTAGCCAGAGAAATTATATAAAAAAAAGAAATAAAGTACATCCAGATTGGAAAGGAAAGTCAAAATATCTCTGTTTGCAGATGACATAATCCTATGTATATAAAAACCTAAAGACTTTATCAAAAAATTCCTAGAACTGACAAAGGAATCCAGTAAAGTTGCAGGATGCAAAATTAATGTATAAAAATTAGTAGTGTTTCTATACACAACAAAATAGCTGAAAAAGAAATCAAGAACACAATCCCAATTATAATAGATAAAAGATAAAATACTTAGGAATAGCCAGGCGCTGTGGCTCATGCCTGTAATCCCAGCTCTTAGGGAGGCAGAGGTGGGAGGATAGCTTGAGCCCAGGAGTTCGAGACCTGCCTGGGCAATATAGCGAGACCCCGCTCTCCACAATAAGGAAAAAAACAAAAAGACAAAAAAAAAAAAAAAAACTTAGGAATAAATTAACCAAGGAAATGAAAGACCTCTACAAGGAAAACTATAAAACACTTACGAAAGAAATTAAAGAGAATACAAACAAATGGAAAAACATCATCCCATGTTCATGGATTAGAAGAATTAATATTGTTAAAATGCAAGTACCACCCAAAGCAATCTACAGATTTAATGTAATCTCTATCAAAATACCAATGACATTTTTCACAGAAAGAAAAAACAATCTTGAAATTTGTGTGGAACCACAAAGACCCCAAATGGCCAAAGCAATCCTGAGCAAAAAGAACAAAGCGGGGGTATTACACTACCAGAGTTCAAAATATACCACAAAGCTATAGTAACCAAAACAGCCTGATACTGGCATAGAAACACACATAGAACATGAAACAGAATAGAGAACTCAGAAATTAATCCACATATCTACAACCAACTGATTTTTGACAAAAGAGCCAAGAACACCCATGGGGAAAGGACAGCCTCTTCAATAAATGGTTCTGATAAACTGGATATCCATATGCAGAAGGATGAAACCAAGACTCCCACCTCTCACCCTGTATAAAAATGAATACAAAGTATATCAAAAACCTAAATGTGGTCAGATGTGGTGGCTCATGCCTATAATCCCTGCACTTTGGGAGGCCGAGGCAAGTGGATCACTAGAGGTCACGAGTTTAAGACCAGCCTGGCCAACATGGTAAAACCCCATCTCTACTAAAAATACAAAAAATTAGCATGGTGGCAGGTACCTGTAATCCCAGCTACTCGGGAAGCTGAGGCAGGAGAATCGCTTGAACCCAGGAGGCAGAGGTTCCAGGGAGCTGAGATCACGCCACTGCACTCCAGCCTGGATGACAGAGTGAGACATCGTATCAAAAAAAAAAAAAGACCTCGAGCAGGGCACGGTGGCTCACACCTGTAATCCTAGTACTTTGGGAGGCTGAGGTGGGTGGATCACCTGAGGTCAGGAGTTCAAGACCAGCTTGGCCATCCTGGTGAAACCCCATCTTAAAAAAAAAAAAAAAAAGGAAAAAAAAAGGCCTAAATGTTAGACCTGAAGTGATAAAATTACTAGAAGAAAACAAAAAGGAATTGATTTAGGACATTGGTCTGGGAAAATATTTAATGAATAAGACATCAAAAGCAAAAATAAACAAATGGGATCATGTCAAATCAAAAAGCTTCTACACAGGAAAGGAAACAATCAACAAGAATGAATGAAAAGACAACCTATAGAATGGGATTTAAAATATTTGCGTACTACTCATCCAACAAAGAATTAATATCCAGAATATACAAGGAACTCAAACATACCAATAGCAAACAAACAAGCAATCTGATTAAAAAGTGGGGAAATGATCTAAACAGACATTTCTCAAAAGAATACATACAAATGGGCAAAAAATATGAAAAAATACTTAACATGATTAATCAGGAAAATGTAAATCAAACCACAATGAGGTATCATCTTACCCCAGTTAGAATGGCTATTATAAAAAACACAAGAAAACAAAAAAAAGAAATGATGGCAAGAATGTGGAGAAAGGAAACTCTTATATGCCATTGGTGGAAATGTAAACTAGTACAGCCATTATAGAGAACAGTATGTAGGATTTTTCAAAAACTACAAATAGGGATACAATATGATCCAGCAACCCCACCACTGAGAATTTACCAAAAGGAAAGGAAATCATTATATCAAAAAGACAACTTTGCCCCCATGTTTTATTGCAACACTGTTCATAATAGCCAAGGTATGGAATTAATGTGGGTGTTTAACAACAGATGAATGTATAAAAAAATGTGGCATATATATATATATGTATGTATACAATGGAGTACTATTCAGCAATAAATAAGAATGAAATCCTGGCCAGGGATCACACTTGTAATCCCAACCGTTTGGGAGGCTGAGGCGGGCAGATCATCTGAGGTCAGCAGTTTGAGACCAGCCTGGCCAACATGGCGAAACTCCATCTGTACTAAAAATATAAAATTTAAGTGGGCATGGTGGCAGGCATCTGTAATTCCAGCCACTCAGGGGACTGAGGCAGGAGAATCGCTTGAACCTGGGAGGCAGAGGTTGCAGTGAGCCGATATTGTGTCATTGCCACAACCTGGGCGACAAGTTTTGAAACTCCATCTAAAAAAAAAAGAAGAATGAAATCCTGTCCTTGCAGTAACATGGATGGAACTGGAGGACATTATGTTAACTGAAATAAGCCAGGAACAGAAAGTTGAACACCACATGTTCTGATTCATATCTGGAGGCTAAAAAAATGTTGGTCACATTAAAGTAAAAAGTAGGACAGAGGATGCTAGAGGCTGCAAAGAGGAGAGGGAAGGGAAGGATGGGGTGATATTTATTAAAGGATATAAAATTATAGCTAGATAGGAAGAATAAGCTCAAGTAGTCTATACCATTATAGGATGACTACAGTTAACAATATATAGTTTCAAATAGCTAAAAAGAAGATATTGAGTGATCCCAACAAAAGATCAATATTTTAGATGATAGATATGCTAATTATACCAATGTGATCAGTATATATGTAATGAAACATTGCTGTGTACCCCTTGAATATATACAATTGTTATTTGTCAATTAAAAAATAAAATTAAATGAATAAAAAAGATAAACCAATAGATTTCTGATTGTCATTTATTATATTAATTCTACCAGATTAGCACTTCTCAAACTTTTTATTCTCAGCACCCCTTTACGCAATTAAATGATTGAGGATCCCAAAGAACATTTGTTTATGTAAGTTGTATGTATCAATACTTTATTAAAGTGAAAACTGAGAAATCCTTAAACAATTTATTTTATTTAAAAAAGAATAAACTTATTACATGTTTACATAAATAATACATCCTTATGAAAAGTAACTATTGTTTTCAAAACAAAAAAGAATATAGTGAATATAGTGTCATTATGTTACATTTTTTGCCAGTTGTTTAATGTCTGGCATAAGCTAACAGGTATAGATTTTTATATTTGTTTACTGCAATCTGTTGTGATATGTTGTTTTGGTTGAAATATTTGAAGAAGATCTAACTTACACAGATACATAGTTGAAAACAAGGAGGGATATTTAAATAACTTTTCCAGTTGATTGTGACTCTTTCTATTTGATTCTATGCCTAAACTTGTTAAGTAGTAGTTTTTTAAACCAGTGGTCCCAAACATTTTTGGCACCAGGGACCAGTTTTGTGGGACAGTTTTTCCACCAGTGGGGCCGGGATTGTTTTGGGATGAAACTGTGTTCCATCTCAGATAATCAGGCATTAGTTAGATTCTCATAAGGAGTATGCAACCACGTGCAGTTCACAGTAGGGTTTGTGCTCCTACGAGAATCTAATGACACTGCTGATCTGACAGGAGGCAGAGCTCAGTCTGTAAATGATCCCTTGCCCACTGCCGACCTCCTGCTGTATGGCCGGGTGCCCAACAGGCCATGAACAAGTACTTGAACGTGGTCCAAGGTTGTTTGATACCTACTTTTGAGAAAGTGTTAAAATGTCCCTCTATATTTATTTAAAAATAATTCATTGTCTACATGTTGATAATTGTTGAAACTAGGTGATGGGCACATGAAATTCATTATAATATTTTGTACATTTTCATACTTTAAAATTTTTCGGCCAGGTGAAGTGCTTCACGCCTGTAATCCCAGCACTTTGGGAGGCTGAGGCAGGTGGATCACTTGAGGTCAGGAGTTTGAAAGCAGCCTGGCCAACACAGTGAAATCCTGTCTCTAAAAAAAAATAAAATAAAATTTTTCTTTTAAAAAGGTTTTAAAAATTATTAAAAATGTCAGTCATAACCTTATTTGATAATCTGTTTTTAAAGTTAGTCTTAAAATGTTCTTATGTTCCAATTACAAAGAAAAATTACTTTGTGGGCATTTCTGTCCATAATTCTGTTGTCCGACAGCATACCTTTGTAACAGCCTGCATGTGGACTCCCAGAACCTACAATAAAAGTTAAAGCAAAACAAAACAAAACATATTGTGTTGTCCTATTAACATTGTAGGAACAAAATATATGGCCAGTTACTTTTCCGGTGACGCCACATCCTTCTCTTTGGGCTCTTTCTTGTTCTTTTGAGGATTATTTTTTTGTGGGGGTTTCTTTCCTAGATTTTCTGATCTCCATTAAGTCAATATTTATATTTTAAGAATCTTGCTTTCCCTGTACGTAATTATTAGGGCATAATATTAATAATAGTAATTTTAGATTCTCTTCAATCTATTATAGGTGGTTATTGGAGATCATGATGGGGTAGTTATGTGCTTTGGCATGAAGAAAGGAGAAGCAGTGGTAAGTATAGCTTTTTGAAGAGGAACAGTGGTTTACTAAAAGAGATTGCACTACCTATTGAATAATACGAGGTTAAACATTTCCTAAAATACAGATAACGGAAAATGGGTTCTGAGGGAAGTAGTTACGTGAGGTATGAGTCTGCAGGCAGCACAAAAATTACTTGCTAGCTAGTTGTAAGGCACCTTCAGCATCCTGTGGTGGTGGGTTACTTTTCTATGCTGTGTAATATATTACCTCAAATTTAGGTGCTTAGCACAACACACATTTATTATTTAGAAGTTTCTGTGGCGCAGAGGTTGGTGTTCAAGGTTTCACTTGGCTGTAATTTAGGTGTCAGCTGAGCTGTGTTTCTTTCTAGAGTGTGGGGTCTTAATCCAAGCTCATGTGGTTGTTTGCAGAACTCAGTTCTTTGCTATTATAGGACTGAGGTCCTCACTTCTGCCATCTGTAAGCCAGGGGCTGCCCTCAGTTCCTTGGGGTCTCTACAGTTTCTTGCTGTGTGGTCCTCATAGTCCTTCTCACAGCATGGTAATCTAATTCTTCAAAGCCATCAGGAAATTTCTCTACTCTGCTAAAAAAGAATCTTATATAGCATAATGTAATCATGGAAGCAACTAACCCACAACCTTTTCCACTTAATTTAACCTAATCAAGGAAGTTATTATTGCATTATCATATTTACAGGTCATAATTTAGGAATGGTGAGTATTAAGTGTGAATTCTGGTATTCATTATATACTACATGGAATTAGCAAAAAGATGAAGAGAGTAACAACCACCAGAAACCCGGTGTTTCCGTTGTTTATATTCTCCCAGATAACTTATTCTCTGTGTATAAAGTCATGGGGCAGAAGTGGAGGTGCAAATAATAAAATGGAAAATAACCTTGAAAAAAATTAATGAAATGAATATTGTTTTCAGTTAAATAGATATGTGATTATAGGTATTAAGTCATACATTCACATTTTCAGTAATTTCTATAGTCCTTTACTGTGAAAATTTATAAAAATTGCAGGCCGGGTGCGGTGGCTCACGCCTGTAATCCCCAGCACTTTGGGAGGCCTAGGCAGGCAGATCACCTGAGGTCAGGAGTTTGAGACCAGCCTGGCCAACATGGTGAAACCCATCTCTGTAAAACAAAAAAAAAAAAAAAAGAAAATTTATAAAAATTGTAAAGAAGTCAGGAAAGATTAGTTTTAAAAGATGAATGAAGTGTTAAACATGTTCATTAGACCTCATTAAAGAATTCTACTATAAAGGCACATGCACACACATGTTCATTGCAGCCCTATTTACAACAGCAAAGACCTGGAACCAACCCAAATGCCCATTGATGATAGACTGGACAAAGAAAATGTGGCACATATACACCATGGAATACTATGCAGCCATAAAAACGATGAGTTCGTGTCATTTGTAGGGACTTGGATGAATCTGGAAACCATCATTCTCAGCAAACTGACACAAGAACAGAAAACCAAACACCGCATGTTCTCACTCATAGGCAGATATTGAACAATGAGAACATGTGGACTCAGGGAGAGGAGCAGCACACACTGGGGCAGTTGGGGGCTACTGGGGAGGGACAGTGAGGGGTGGAAAGGGTGGGGAGGGATAATATGGGGAGAAATGCGGGACATAGTATGCACCTACGCAACAACCCTGCATGACCTGCACATGTACCCCAGAACCTAAAGTAAAATTTAAAAAACATTAAAAAAAGAATTTGCCAAATGGACTTCCCTGTTCATTAGGAGTATTGTGTAAGCCAGTGCTTCTCAAACTTCAATATACATAGGAACCAACTGAGGAATCTTGTTAAAATACAGAGGTTCATCCAGTTGATCTGGAGTTGGGCCTTACAGCCTGCATTTTAAATAAATTTAGTGATGCTAACATTGCTGCTTAGTGAACCGTACTTTGAATTGCAAGGATTTAAATTTCAATAACATCATTCAAATATGTTTGGGAATATATATTTACAAGTTAAGTATAGCAAAAAACTTGAAGACCTACTAAATAGTATCTAAAATTATTTCTATATGGTGGAACTATAATATTTTGCAAATTTTAAATCATAACATTTTCTATGGTAAAGGAAAGTGCTCACAATAAAATAATTTGTGTACTTTTTTCCTGAATGATTTTTTTCAGGCAGTGTTCAAGACTTTACCGGGACAGAAGATTGCAAGGCTGGAACTGGGAGGAGTTCTCAACACACCTCAGGAAAAAATTTTTATTGCTGCAGCATCTGAGATTAGAGGCTTCACAAAAAGAGGAAAACAGTTTCTCTCTTTTGAAACAAACCTCACTGAAAGCATTAAAGCTATGTATGTCTATTTTTCTCTTTTGTATTTTTACATACTTATTTATAATATTTTGGATAGATGTAAGGCAACTGATTAAGCATCATGTCTTAATAGGCTTTCTGGAAAATAAAATTAACTAAAGGTATTTTATTAGTCAGAAACTAAATTTGACCTACAACCAATATTAAATGGGTTGTTGTTGAATTTTTTAAAAAATAACTTTATACTATTTATACAATCATTTTGACTACTTGGTTCAGTTTTGATTCATGAGTAAGGTATGGAAAAAAAATTGAAAAGAAATCTCTAGATATTTAGCTTTATGTTCCTTGGCTATTTTTGATAGATCTGGTTTTCAGGTAGCATTATTATGTTAAAAGACTGGCTTTCAAAGTTAGTGACTATCAATAGGGTATAATTTCAGATGTATCAGGTAAGTGAAATATAACTCCCTCAATGGCTTCCTGATATGTGAAATTTTGCAATTCGTATTTTAGTTTTTGAATCACAGGGAGCTGAAAAGGGCTTTAAAATTCATCTAATTCACTGTTTCTTAAATTTGCTGCTTAGGAGAATCCCGTGGGACAGTTAAACAATTCCTTGTTCTATCTCATACCTGCTGAATTAGAGTAACCAGGAGTAGGTTTTATTTTTATTTTTTAAGTTCTTTATTTGAATGTAGTGCAGTCAAGTTATATAATCAGCCAGACTCTTAGGTTGGAAACTATTCAGTCCAGAGTTCTGTATAATGCACAGCAGATCTCCTGATGTTTGGGATGTAAAATGTTAGCGTGGTGAAATTAGGTAACAATTAAACAATGATAAGTGGAAATACGTCATTTCAAGTGATTTAACAAAAACAGTAACACTTTTAAAATACACTTGTAGATAGACATGGTCAATGATAATTGTGAAATACTAAAAGTAATATGTTAGTAGCATAACTCTACGTTCAGACAGGTATATAGATAGTAGTGTGAGAAGGATAAGGAAGTTCCCAGGAATAGTCTCTTTAAGTGGCTTCTTAAATGTTTTGACTAGAGTAGCAAAGATGGGATAGAAAAGTTCTTTACTCAATTTCTGAAAATTGATTGAATCCCCACATTTATAATGTTTTATAGGAAAACAAAAGTTATAACTTGAAGATATTCAGTAAGGAAACTGACCACTTAACATTAGCCACCACACATCCTTTCCTGCTTAATGCGACCATGTGTCAACACTCATGTCAACAATAGTGATTGTTAAATAGTACTTTGGCCAGTATAATGCAAATATAATACAGATTCGTTTCAAAATGGAATTCAAAATTTTGAAAAACATAGAGAATGTCATGAAGTTGATAAAAATATTAGAGGACTATTGAATCATGCAGAGCCACAAAGTGAGGCCACTTAATAATGAAGAAGAGAAAATCAGTGAAGATTGTTATAGGATAAGCTTTTCAGATAATTATTTTAATATAAAAAATTTTAAATAGAACTTGGAGGTAGAGGAATATGTGAAACATTCAAATAAAATTACCCTCTTTATGATAAATGTGGTAATAGCAATCTAGAAGTGAAAAATATATCACACATATATAATTTTTGTCAAAAAATTTTAGCTCACCTAAGTGAAAACTTGATTCAGTCTAAGAATTAGAACATAGTTATTACTATTATCTAAATTTTCTTCAGTGTAATTTGAAATGAACTTATTTTCATTTCTTTTTTCAAGATAAAGTTCTAATGAAATTTTTTTTTCTCAGCTGTTTATCATTTTGTTTGAGTAGAGTCACTTAAAATAGACTTTTTCAGGCAATTTAGTCTGGTAGTAAGAAAGCTAACTCTAGAGCAAAAAACTGAGTTGAAATCTAATCTACTATTTAATAATTAGGTGCCATTAGGCAAGTTATTTAACATTGTTATTCACCTGTAAAAAGGAATAATAATGGTCCCTGTTTATATTATAGAGTTATGATGATTAATTGGTCTAATATATAAAAATCACTTAAGATAGTGCTTGGCACATAGTACACAAAGAAGTCATTTTTTGACTTATTAATTGTCTTTGGACATAGACAATTAAATTATCATTATCTTGTCTTTGTTTTCCATTTTTCTGAACTCAGTTTTTATTGAGAAGCCTGAGGCCTTAACATCTTCATTTTCAGCATTCAAAATAGAAAACAGTGTTGTACCAAAAAGACTAGAAATTAGGTAGGAGAAAGTTTTAAAAACTGTGTTCTCTAATTCTGTAATAAAATGTTAGTAAACTGTATAGATTGTTTTGATTTTATCTCTGAAAAAAATTCAGTACATGTGCTTATTTTTTAAAATTACTATTTTAATGTTCTCAGGCACATATCTGGCTCAGACCTCTTTCTCAGTGCAAGTTACATCTATAACCATTATTGTGACTGCAAAGACCAACATTATTACCTCTCTGGGGATAAAATCAATGACGTCATCTGCCTTCCAGTGGAAAGATTATCTCGAATCACACCTGTATTGGCCTGCCAGGACAGAGTTCTCAGAGTTTTACAGGTTGCTATTATTTGTATATTTCTAATTTTTTATCATTTATGTGAAAGAATATTGGTGAACATTATGTACCTGAGATAAATTACTGTAGTGGTTACTGTTTTAAGTGCTTATATAAAATATCTGGAAACAATTTTTAAATAATTTGACAGTTTTTTTTAACTTAAGTCAAATGTGGTTTTCTTCATTTTTTTTTTTTTCTTTTTCCTTTTTTTTTAGTAAGATTGTGGATCTTTTGCGTTTTTAGAGAAGGATATTTGGAAGAAAAAGGATATTTTTTGCTTCACCATGCACAATTTATGAGCTATTATCAGAATGGAGTACTATGACTACAGAGAACCTTTACCTGCCTTTTTGTTTTGTTTTTTGTTTCCATCACCTTCCCCTTCCCCAAAAAATTAAATTAAAAGAAGAAATTGGGTTGGGGAGAGGGTGTTATATAATTTGAGTTTATGCATGTATGGCAGTATATGGAATAAGTGCTTAGTAAATATTTGTTGGATAAGTGAATGAGCGATAGAAGGAAAAATCATTTTGATGTCCTTATATTTCTGGTAAAAACCACGATTGGCTAAAACACCTGCTTCAGGTCATTGTTATGAGTAATAATAGTTACCACTATATCTTTTTGAGAGTGGCTTTCAATAAAATGCACACACATAGACACACATTCACTCTATAGGATGCTTAAAATAATGTTTAAATATAAATAGCATGTAACAGGTAGATGAACTGGATCAGAAAGAGGCTGATAATAGTTGGTGCAGTTGATCAAAAATTTTAGCTGTGAAGTTCATGCCACCACAGGCTATCTAACTGTTTGGAATTCCATAGTCAAATGTCCATTTCTTGGCATCAGCCCTTTTGTAGAAGAAAAGATGCAGTGATTCTATGAGGTTTTTACTCACCGCCCCCACCACCAGGGACAAAGTAACGTTAAAGAGTCATTTTAGGCTGGGCATGTGGTTCACACCTGTGATCCCAGCATTTGGGGAGACTGAGACAGGAAGATCACCTGAAGCCAAGAGTTTGAGACTAGCCTGGCCAACATGGTGAAACCCTGTCTCTACTAAAAAAATTAGCCAGGTGTGGTAGTGCACCCCTGTAATCCCAGCTACTCGGGAGGCTGAAGCACGAGAACCGCTCAAACCCCGGAGGTGGAGGCTGCAGTGAGCTGAAATCATGCCACTGTACTCCAGCCTGGGCAACAGAGGGAGACTCCGTCTCAAGAAAAACGAGGGGGGGAAAAGAAAACAAAAGAAAAAAGTTTCATTTTAGTTATGTATGATTAATTTCCCCTGTAGCCCATGCTTTTAAATATGAACTGTTTTGAACAGTTTTAACTGGAGCTGGTTAGTATTCAATTAGAAATTGACTGAATTTTAGGGTTCTGGTTTGTTTGACAAGAGATCCATATGCTTATTATTTCAAAAAAATTACTAAAGATTTGTAGAAAATAAAGAGTTGAAGTATTTCCCTCTGCACTGCATAGGTCTTTCTCACTCCCTATCTATCTTTGTAAGTAATCCATTACTCCAGAGGTTGCTTCTTTTTAACAGTTTTGTGTATATTCTTTTGTGTTTGCATAGTTATGTATAGATATCTGTAAATTTGAAAATGATACTTTAAATAAAAGATAAAGCAGCCTGGGCGCAGTGGCTCAGGCCTATTATCCCAGCACTTTGGGAGGCCGCAGTTGGAGGATGGCTTGAGCCAGGAATTCAAGACTAGCCTGGGTAACGTAGTGAGACCCCCACCTCTTAAAAAAAATTTAGCTGGGCATGGTGGTGTATGCCAGTAGTCCCGGCTACTCAGGAGGCTGAGATGGGAAGATCACTTGGGCCCGGGAGGTTGAGACTGTAGTCAGCTATGACCACACCATTACACTGCATGCACTCCAGCCTGGGTGACAGAGCCAGACCCTAGCTCAAAAAAAAATAAAAATAAAAATAAAAAGATAAAGGATACGGCCCTCTATGTGTTCTAAATAAACATTAAAAATTTTTAGGCCTGGTGTGGTGGCTCACGCCTATAGTCCCAGCACTGTTGGAGGCTGAGGTAGATGGATCACCTGATCAGGAGTTCAAGACCAGCCTGGCCAGCATGGTGAAACCTTGTCTCTACTAAAAATATAAGACTTAGCTGGGCATGGTGGACTGCACCTGTAGTCCAGCTACACAAGCAGCTGAGACAGGAGAATTGCTTGAATCTGGAAGGCGGAAGTTGCAGCAAGCTGAGATCACACCGTTGCACTTCAGCCTGGGCAATAGAGTGAGACTCCATCTCAAAAAGAAAAATTAAAAATATAGTATATTTACTATAATTTTTAAACTTTCGTTTTCATTGAATTAAATATCATGGATATTTTTTCCATGTGAGTATAAGTACTTCTACCTCATTCTTTAACAGCGTCACAAATACTGTGCCCAAAATGACAAGCATTACAAGTAGCAAAATTGAAAACCAGAAATAAAGAACCTAGCTTGTTTTCTTATCTAAGTATCTGGTCATTCTGCCTCTAACTGGAGCAGATTTTGGGAATACCCAAAGGCCAGGCCAAAGTAACTTTGTTAAAATGTTTGGATGTATTCTAAGTTTAAGCCCTCCAGTTAACCTAGAGAGGACAGAGGGCATAATATGTTCCTAGAGACTTGACAGGAAAATGTACCAGTGTCAAGTTTTCAGGCAAACAGTGTATTTAAAATGTATTGAAGGTAGAGATTATTTTAAATGTTTTCTCCTTGGTCTTTACATTATGTATGTGTGTGTGTGTGTGTGTGTGTGTGTGTATGTTTGTGTGTATATAAGTTTTATAAGATACATACATATATATGTAAAATGACTGAGTTTTATATATATATAGAGAGAGTTATATATATAGTTTTCAAATCAGTTGATATATGCAAAATCACTAAGAAATGCAAGTTGTATTTATAACCTAATTTTTAAAGCAATTTTATTCTAGATGTTACTAAGAGTACTATATTTGAATATTGTTGTTATTCATGAATGCCTCTATTATTTTCAGTTTGTAAATACTTCTTTTCCTTCAGGGATCTGACGTGATGTATGAAATTGAAGTTCCTGGCCCCCCTACTGTCTTAGCACTACACAATGGAAATGGCGGTAATCAGGATTTTATTTTTCACAATCAACTATATGTTTTAATATTAAGTGAAAATGGGAAATTGTAGAAAGGGCATAAACTAGAATTGAGACAGTTATCTTTCTGGTAACTTGCTAGTAATTAACAGCACAATTTATTTAACTTTAATTCTCTGTTTTTCTTTTTTGGGGGCAAGTGGGGTCAGGGTCTCACTCTATCTCCCTTGCTGGAGTGCAGTGGTACAATCGTGGCTGACTGCAGTTTTGACCTCCCCAGGCTCAAGGGATCCTCCTGCCTTAGCCTCCCTAGTACTACAGGCAAAAACTACCATCCACCTAGCTTTTTGGTATTTTTTATAGAGACAGGGTTTTGCCATGTTGCCCAGGCTGGTCTGGAACTCCTGGGCTCAAGTGTTAGCCTCCCTAGTACTACAGGCAAAAACTACCATCCACCTAGCTTTTTGGTATTTTTTATAGAGACAGGGTTTCGCCATGTTCCCCAGGCTGGTCTGGAACTCCTGGGCTCAAGTGATCCTCCCACCTCAGCCTCCCAAAGTGCTGGGATTACAGGCATGAGCCACGGCACCCAAACTAGTTTTTTCATCTTAAAATCAGATAATGGGGAAAGGTCTTATCTCTTATAGCTATAAAATTATGTGAATATATAACCATTCTCCAAAATTAAGTTTTATGTATTTTTTAATAATATTTTAAAATATTTTTATATAAAAATATTTCAACTTTAAAGAGATTATGAATTGTAGAATAAATATAATATGCTGACTTTAATTATAACTAGGTGACTCTGGAGAAGACCTTTTGTTTGGAACGTCAGATGGAAAACTTGGGCTTATTCAGATTGCTACATCCAAACCAGTATACAAGTGGGAAATTCAAAATGAGAAAAAGAGGGGAGGTATGCTTTTAATGTAGTTCAGATTCTGAGGTGTCAATGATTTTTAAGTATCTTAAATTATATAAATCATTCTATTTTATCCATTTATACTACATAGCAGACTTAGCAATTCACACCTTGATTTATCTACTAATTTGTTTATTTGTCAGGTCTATTATACTATTAGCATGATTTTTTTAAAGTAAGAAATGCTTATAGTAATTTGGTATGATAGGTTTTCATAGGCTAATGTCATTTTATGCTAAAATCCAATTTTAGAGAATTAATGGAAAGCTGGGGGGTCTTTGTTATGAGGCAAAGAAGTGCAGTGGGTCAGAGAATATTCCTGTTTTCTAAGGAATGTATACCTTTCAAAGGAGAATTTATAACTGATTTGGTAGATAGTGAGAAGCCTGTTTATATGTTTGGGATATTCATATATTCATTTATTCCTTCAACAAATACTTATTAGGAGAGACAGAGTAAAAACAAATGAATACATAAGACAGCCTCACCTAGTCACCTGAGGAAAATAAAACAGGGCAGCATATTAGAGAGTGATGGTGGAAGGAGGAGGGCACTTTTAGACCAGGTGGTCAAAGGCAGCTTTTTAGAAGAGGTAAAATTTGAACTGAGATCAGGTTGATAAGAAAAAGAGTTAGCAATATGAAGATTTTGGGAAAAAATGTTTCAGAAAGAGGAAAAAGTAAGTGTGAAAGATTTGAGGTAGAGGTAAACTTGATTCATTTGAGGAACAGTAGGAAGATCAGTGTGGCTAAAAGTGTTAACATGGCAAGAGATGGAGTCAGAGAGGTAGAGTAGAGCCAAATTGTGTAAGCCTTGGAAAAGAATTTGAATTTTAATCTAGGTGCTATAGGAAGTCATTAGAAAATTGTCAGTGGGAGTGTGACATTTAATTTACTAAGCCTAACAAAACAAAGGACACTGCTTAGAGAATGGATTGGAGGGGGTTGGGGGAAGCAGATCAAAATTGGAAGCATGGAGACCACTTAGAAGAGTTATTATAATTTATTCCAGTCTAGGCTAGCTTAGTCTAGGCTAACAGTAGCTGGAAATGCAAAGGAGACAATTTCAGTATATATTGTGGAGGTAGAGCAGATGAAATTTGCTAGTGTTTTTGATATGAGGGGTGGTGAGAAAAAGAAATTCGAGATGGTAGCCCAGAATTTTTGTCTGGGCAGCTAGGTAGTATAATTTATTGAGATGGGGGAAGACAGGGAGGAGCAGTATTGAGGGGATTCAGTAAAGAGGGGAATAAAGAGTTTTGTTTGGGGTATGGAAGGTTTAAGAAGCAGATGTCTGTGAGACAATACCAAATTGGATATATAAGTCTGGAGCTTTGGCCAGAGCTGAAGGGAGATATAAATGTAGCGGCCATTCTCACATAGATTATATTTAAAGACCTGGAAATGGATGAATGTGAATGGACAAGAGAAGAGCACTTGATTTTGCTCAGTTTTCTTTGCTGACCATTCTAAGTAGGTGTATCTGTTTTTTTCATTCTTACTTTGCCTGTACTTGACTATAACTATTAGTTTTCTTAATAACTTATCACATATCTCTTTTTAAAGGTATTTTGTGTATTGACAGCTTTGACATTGTGGGTGATGGGGTTAAAGATTTACTTGTTGGGAGAGATGATGGAATGGTGGAAGTGTATAGTTTTGATAATGCAAATGAACCTGTTCTACGATTTGATCAGGTAAGTTCATTTAAAAAGACTACGTATGTTTATTATTTGTCAAATTATTATAGAGATGACAGATGGTTTGAATTTTATTATGTGAAAATATATTAAAATCTTGTGTTTGGTTTAAAATATTGCTATTTTGATGTTACCGGAATTTTCTGTAGACTTCTCTTGTGTTTGAATAATAGACTTTTGCCTTTAACCAGGATAATAAATTATTTTTTCATTATACTTTAAAATATTATTATAAATCTCTAAAGTATTAAATATTTTGCCTTCATTTATAATGTATAATAAAACTTTGCTAGAGTAATACTTTTATGTTTGGTTAATATAAAAGAGTCTTGTTTTAAAATAATAAGATTTTAGAAATAAACTTTATATTGTTAGGACAGTATCAGAAATATCCTTAAGCAAAAAGAAAAAAGTAGTAGTTTCACTCTTACCCACTGAAGGGCTGGCTGTATAAGAAGAAATACTATATAAAAGTAATTTTAATTCACAAATTTTAAATGTAATTAAGCTTATTTATGTTGAGTTATAAAGTTACATAGAGAAGCATTCTGGCATAAATTGAATCTTTCGTTTTCATAAACGGGTGTTCTCTAATCCAGGGCTTCCCTATCCTGCCTCATGTAAAGCACACTGAGGCTATTAAAGAAGAAACAAAGGAGTTCAACTCATGTCAACTTTTTTTTTTTTTTTTTTGTCTGATTTCTCTACCAGTGGTACCTCCCAATCCTAACTTCAACTGCAGGTCAGGAAATACAAGTGGTTTGAAGCGTAGGTAAATATATCATATAGGAAATATAGGGATAAAAATGTTACACAGTTGAGGTTATTTTATAAATTTGTTTCAAATTTGTTCATCTTATTTTGGTGTAAAAAGTCATTTGCTAATGATGCAAGTAATAGTTTAGGCTTAGAAATACTAATCCATTGTTGACTATCTCCTGCTTTTTCTCATTAGCCCTTTGAGAAACTTTCCTGTTCAGACCCAAAGTCTCCTCTTTAAATTGTATTCTAAACCCCAGAAATGTCATAGCATTTACCTGCTCTGCCAGGTCTAACACTGAGAAATCTTATCTTCCTCCTGTTTCTTCTGTTTGTCTAATGACAGAGGTGCTGCTTTCAGGTTATGCTTTAGGCTGGGAATACTCTACCTCATCTTGGATTCACATTATCACTCTCTATGTTGCTTTCCTAATCAGGAGAATTCCTACTGTCTGACACAGTCTGGACTGGTAGTTGGTTGATTAATCAAAAAAGATCGTTAAGGGGTGAATCATAAAGAGAGAAAATATGTACACCTTAAACATTGCATTTTAACTTATATATTCATTTGCCAATATTTTGAGGAGGGACCAAGGTCTTTTTTTGTAAGTTTAGTTTCATGTTTTCTTACATAAACCTTACCCATGCTATATGGCCCAGGAGCTCTGATTTTATGGTTATAGAATCAATTTTTTCTTTCTTTCTTCCTTTCTTCCCCTCACCTCCCCTTCCTGCATTCCTGCCTGCCTGCTTTCCCGCCTGCCTTCCTGCCTTCCTGCCTGCCCTGCCTCTTTTTTCCTCTTCCTTTCAGAACAGTGCTATCCCATAGGCAGTGTGCAGAGTAGCCCTGATTTCTTTTTTATAAGTACATAAGATAAGTGAATGTCATTAAGATATTCTATTGGCAAAAGATATATAGAAATGAACAGTTTAAAAAGGAAATGAACAGTTTTTAAAAATTTTTTGTGATATTTTCCAAGTATATTGCATTAAATACACTCTAAAGTTGTAATTATTAGTTACCTAATAAACCACTCAGAAAGTGAGAATGTGCATGTTTCTATTGGTTGAATAAAACATCCTTCTGCAAGTCAGGTGACTTCCAGTGTTTTGTGTTCAGTACATTAAAGGAGTATCTAATCAAATTGTTAGATAAATAAAAAACAAGTTTTTGAAGACTTTTATTACATATGATCAACTGGATACTTGTTAAAAATTCAGATATTTGGCCAGGAGTGGTGGCTCATGCCTGTAATCCTAGGACTTTAGGAGGCCGAGGCAGGCAGATCACCTGAGGTTGGGAGTTCAAGACCAGCCTGACCAACGTGGAGAAACATCATATGCAAAAAAAAAAAAGTAGATATTTGAACCCACCTGTAAAAGTAACTTTATGTGATTTGTAATCAAACCTTTGTTACTTGAAATTCTCAGGTAATTAGCCTCAGGAACAACTATCATAGCCTAATTTGCAGGCTCAGATGTTTACCCCCTATAGAGTAGGTGAAGAGAACTAAGATTTTGTTGATTGGTTTAATGCTAGTGTCCCTTCCTTCCACCCCTTCCTTTTAAACAATTGTTCTCAGTCTTGCCTGCTAAGAATTACCTACCAGAGTTTTTTAAACTGCTAGTCAAAACCAATTAGTGTGTTGCCAGTGCAGTTTTTAAAAAAACAAAATAGAATAGATTAGAATATATCAGAGTATGACACAAACCTTTTAATTTATATACATTGCTGTAAATGTTTTTGTGTGAATAGATACCAGAACATAATATAAAATTTATTGCTTACTTTCCAAACAGCTTAAAAGCCATGACCTAAAGTGTTTCTTAAAATACAGTGTCTAGCTTGGCCCAGTAGCTCACACCTGTAATCCTAGCAATTTGGGAGGCTGAGGTGGAAGGATTACTTGAGCCCAGGAATTCAAGACCAGCCTGGGCAACATAGGTAGACTCCATCTCTGCAAAAAAAATTTTAAAAATTAGCTGGGCATGGTGATGTATGTCTGTAGTTCCAGCTACTTGGAAGGCCAAGGTGGGAGGGTCACTTGAGCCTGAGAGGTCGAGGTTGCAGTGAGCCATGATCATGTACTACATTCCAGCCTGGGCAACAGATAAATGTCCTGTCAAAAAACAAAAAAAAACAGCTCCCTACAATTATTTCTTTTTTTTAAAAAAAAAAAAGAGAGAAAAATACAGATTCCTTCTGAATTCTTTTATCTGGAAAAAAAAAAAAGAAAAAAAAGTAAAGAAAAAAATACGGATTCCTAGTCGACTTACCTAAGTGGTTATCCGACAAGTTTGGTTGCTTAAAAGATGGTTATTATAAACTCTGAGTTATCTGAAAAAACTTGGTTTCTCTCCATAATAGCAGATTTCCTAAAGGTTCCATATAGGCTACCATCTTTTTTCTTTACCTAAAAAACTATTTTGAGAAAACACATGAAAGACGGTCTTTGGAATTCAGATAGTAGACTAAACTATCTGAATATTTTGTATTTTGCTTATGTAATTAAACAACAGAGCATTTTGCTTATATAATTAAACAACAACAACAACACCACCAAAACTTTTCTTTATATAAATAAACTGGTGGGTGCTGTGGTTCACGTCTATAATCCCAGCAGTCTGGGAGGCCAAAGTGGGCAGATTATTTGAGCCCATGATTTGAAGACCAGTCAGATGACATGGCAAAGCCTCATCTCTACAAAAAAATACAAAAATTGACCCAGCATTGTGGCATGCATTTCTGGTCCCACATACTCTGGGGTCTGAAAGGGGAGGATTGTTTGAGCCCAGGAGGTCAAGGCTTAAATGTGAGATCAAATCACAGTGAGCTGTGATTAAACCACCGCACTTCAGCCTTGGTGATGGAGAAAGACTTTGTTTCTAAATAAATAAACTATTTTTGCTCGTTAGATGAATATTTCATTAGTTGAGTGGTACCCACAAATATACTAGGGTCATTTTGAATCTTCTTTCCCACATTAAAAAACACTGAAGTTTCCTGCCATTCATTCAAGATATTTCGTCTTTCTAATCTCAGTGTTTGCACATAAGCATTCAGTAAATATATGTTGAATGTCTGGAGCCAGGGAAAATATGTGGCTTATTTTACAAACATATCTGTGAAATTTTTTGTTACTAATGAAGTGCTCGATCTTAAACTTTTTTAGATGTTGTCAGAAAGTATCACATCTATCCAGGGTGGTTGTGTAGGGAAGGACAGCTATGATGAAATCGTGGTGTCCACATATTCAGGTAAAGTAAATGGTTGTAGGTAATTGAAGAAAGAATCAGCAACAAAAAAAATCTAAATTTATTAGACTGCTTTTGATGACTGTTTTTAAGAAAGAGTTATAGTAGTCCCGCCTTCTTCATTGGGAATCCATTTCAAGACCCCCAGTGGATGCCTGAAACCTCAGATAGTGCTGAATCCTATATATTATACTTTTTTTCTGTACCTACATGCCTATGTTAAAGTTTAACTTATAAGTTGGGCACAATAAAAGATTAACAATAATAACCAATAATAAAATAGAGCAATAATAACAATATCCTCACATCACTACTCTTGTGCTTGGGACCCATATTAAATAAAGCAAGGTTACTTGATCACAAGCACTGTGATACTACAACAGTTGATCTGATAACTGGTTTGGCCTCTAAGTGGCCAACAGGCTGGTAGCAGGTATCATATATAGCAGGTGATATGTTGGACAAAGGGATGATTCACGTCCTGGGCAGAATGGACGGCATGAGATTATATCACCCTATTCAGAATGTTGTACAATTTAAAACTTAGGAATTGTTTCTGGAATTTTCCATTTAATATGTTCAGACTACCATTGACTATGGGTTACTAAAATGTAGAACGTGGAATTGTGGTTAAGGGGAGGCTACTGTTTTGGTCGGTGACTCTTACCTACAGCATTAAAAACATTATTAGTTAAAAAATAAGGAGAAAGTGTAGGCCTCTTGATTTATAAAATAGTTGGTACTAGAATGATACTTTTTAGAGTGTTTAGCATGTCACTATTACCTTTAAATATTAAATGACATTCTTTGATTTAAAGAGAAGTACTTATTGAGATTTACTTCATGTTTTGGACTATGTATGTGTCTTATGAAAACTTCTTTTTCTTTTTTTTCCAGACAGGGTCTCAAAAAAAAATTTGCCAAAACTTGCTTTTGAGTTAGTAATTTTTGCATTCTCATAGTAGTCATGTGAGAGTTTAAATTTCCATGAAAGTAATTTTTAAAAGCAATTCTTATTTTTCAGCTGTTTTTAAACTTGCTAGAATATGTTGACTTATTCCATACTTTAAATCTGTTAAAAAATAAAAGATTCCCTTTATTATAGTATTTCAGGCAAAAAAAAAAATGATATCACCAAATGCTTAAGTAATTTCTCTGTAGTCTGAATATTTTCCAGCTTGACTTTGTGTTTTGTTTTGTTTTTGAATGAAGTCCTAGGGTTAAGTCTGGTTGATATTAGTGGACAGAGGGGCATGTACATGGGAGCTTCTGCTACACAATGCATAATTTTTCTTTTTTAACACTAGCAGTACTAAGTGGTGCTTGATTATAATTCATCTCTACAGGCTGGGTTACAGGTCTGACAACAGAGCCCATTCATAAGGAAAGTGGACCAGGAGAAGAACTGAAAATTAACCAGGAGATGCAGAATAAAATTTCTTCCTTACGGTAACTTTGAATTTTTTATTTTCTTTTTTAAAAAATTTCCTGAAGTGCGTGGTTATTGCTTTTTATTACTTATAGTTGCAGTATATTTTATTGGAAGGAATTATATAATTAATCACCTTTTAAAATGAAAGTTTATAGTTTTGAGAAAATTAGCAGTAGTGCTGGTTAATATTTTGGAGATAGAAATATACTTTTTTGTATGCTTTATTCTATATTAACTTTTTCTTAGGTCAAGAGTTGTATTTTTCATTTTTTTTGTCATAGACTCTTGTAGTGTTTTATTTTTTGTTTTTCACAGACATTAGAAATAAATCAGCATAGTTGGCTGTATTATTTCTCATTAAAGCTGATGTTTACTGTTCCTGTGGACCCTTCTGAATATGTAATGTTGGCTTATAAATTTTCTTAACTGGAACTGAGTAATGTTGACTCCCCTAGACACAGAAATTGTTTTTATGGTCTGCTCAACTTGATGCGTGCTGTGAAAAGGGACCCCAGACTCAAATAAAGATGCTTCATGCAATGAAGAAGTAGGAGTTGCTAAAACCTTTAATGACTGCTGTCCCCATTTCAACCCATGCTGACCTTTCGTGGAGGGTTGATCTTTTTTTGGTGGTAGTTGAAGGCTACAAAACTTTTAAGGCAGCAAATGCCACAAGTACTAGTAGCACAAGCTGTTTCACCAAAGCCACCAGAGAGCAAGTTATAATGTTCATGCAAACAAGGATACTAAGTATAGTTAATGACTACTCTCTCACATCCTCAATACAGGATTTATAACCAACTCTACTGTTTAAAACCAACTCTACTGTCTCTTGATTCCACTGGAATGTAAACTTTATGAGAAGCTTATGTCTGATTTGTTCATTTGGTACCCAAACATATGGGAGTAAATATGTAATATTTAGCAGTAACTATTTCTTTGATGAATGCATCTTTTCCTTTGTTCTTTGCACAGATCTCTTCCAAGCTCCTCCCCAGACATTTCCTCCTAAATTGTGGCTAGTTAATCCCAATGACTGTTTACTTCATTTGCATGTGGCGTTTCCTTTTAACTGGAGATCTAAGCAATACCTATGTAGTTCAGTCTCAGCAGAATCCTCTCCAACACTTGGTAGTTAAGCTGTACCACTGGCTCATGAACATCCTTGTGGTCCCCAAAATGTTAATGCTCTGCAGCTTCCTTTTATTTTTTATGTCTCCCCTAATGTCTTACTGAAAGTTAAGTGTTTACTGGCTACACACATTTTGTCTCTTTTCATTAAGTCTAATATGTTCTACAGTATTAGTTTCTCTTCTCATTAGTATTAGTTTCTCTTCTTATTAGTACTTTATGTAGCTATAACTAGATTCCTGTGTTTGATTGCTAGTATGGGACTGAGTAGATGTTTTAATTTTTAGATTAAGGATAAATAATGTGGAATCATTTGGTCAGTCATAGAAGCAAAAGTTTTGTTCCCTTTATTTTTATCTTATTAGCTCAGCCAATAAAAACACATTTTTCAAAAGCAAATGTCTCAAATTTTCATAAACATTCTAAGGACCTCAAATGTTTATACTTATATTTGACAAATTTGTGTATGTTTTACTCCAGGAATGAGTTGGAGCATCTGCAGTATAAGGTATTGCAGGAAAGAGAGAATTATCAACAGTCTTCTCAATCAAGCAAAGCAAAATCAGCAGTACCTTCCTTTAGTATAAATGATAAATTTACACTAAATAAAGATGATGCCAGTTACAGCCTTATCTTAGAGGTACAGACTGCAATAGATAATGTCTTAATACAGGTAAGTAAAACGTCTAATTTCTTAGTTTTATGACTGGATCTATTTTGCAAACCAGTCATATGTACTAATTATTATTGAACATTTTTAGCTTTAGACAGTACTTTTATTTTATTTAATTAATTAATTTATTTATTTATTTTGAGGCAGAATCTTGCTCTGTCACCTAGGCTGGAGTACAGAGGTGCAATCTCAACTCACTGCAACCTCCACTCCCAGATTCAAGTGATTCTCCTGCCTCAACATCTCGAGTAGCTGGGACTACAGGTGTGTGCCACCACACCTGGCTAATTTTGTATTTTTAGTAGACACAGGGTTTCACCATGTTGGCCAGGCTGGTCTTGAACTGCTGACCTCAGGTGATCCACCCGCCTCAGCCTCCCACAGTGCTGAGATTACAGGCATGAGCACTTCACCCAGCCTTAGACAGTAATTTTAAATGTTTATGCCTTTTTTATCTTCCTTTCGATAATTAGTTTGCTCATCGATTATTTGAATTATATTTTTACTTTTTATTTTTCATGTACTTAATAAACAAAAGATGGACTTAAGTTTTAGGAAGAGATAGAAAACACAGGTTTTTCTTCTTTGGTTTCCCTCTGGGAGAATCTTAACAGAGAGATGACTTAGAAAACTACCATATTTAATACCCTTGCTAGAATTTTTTTTTTTTTTTTTTTTGAGACAGAGTCTCACTCTGTCCCCCAGGCTGGAGTGCAACAGTGTGGTCTCAGCTCACTGCAACCTCCACCTCCCGGGTTCAAGTGATTCTCCTGCCTCAGCCTCCCAAGTAGCTGGGATTACAGGTGCCCACCACCATGCTTGGCTAATTTTTATATTTTTAGTAGAGACGGGGTTTTACCATGTTGGCCAGGCTGATCTCAAACTCTAGACCTCTTGATCTGCCTGCCTCAACCTCTCAAACTTTTTTTTTTAAGCCCCAAACATTAAAGTACAGCTTGCTCATTAACCCAGAAGTTTTTGGTAGGTGAACAGGCAAAGTAGAAAATCCTGAAGTGTGAAATTTAGGGATAATAATGTAGACTCCATTCATCAGTGTATATATTTACTTATGTATATATTTACTTACTTAAATTGGAAGGTATTGAAGAAGTAGAAAAGAATGATAGGATGAATGGAAAGCAAACAAAAGGTAGTAAACCAATTACAAAATGAGAACATAATTAATTGGAGGAAGAAAAGGTTTAAAGCGATATAATGGAGAGATCAGATTATTAAGTAACACTTAAAGGCAGAAAACTCTCTTAAGTAATGCTGGCTCCCAGGCTGCTGCATTGAGCAACTCTAGGAATGCCATTCACATAGAACGTAGTGCAACAGCTTTGTCCTACAAACTGCCTCTCCAGAAGATACCAAAAATTAACTTCTTTCTGTGTTACAGGTAAAATTGAAATTGATAAAAATGAACTGATACAATCAGAATGGCTATGTGATTATTTATAGCTCATGTTAACATTTTTGGCACTTTACAAAAATAGGTGGGACGACTGGACTTTTAAGGGAGTGGTGAGAGATGATATTCTGTAATTTTTGTAATCCAAGTTAGAAAAAAACAGGTGATTGTAAAATAATATTTTTTCAATGTTAATTGAAATGTTAATAAATGTTAATTTATTTTCTAGAAGTATATACTATCAAGTATAAATTAAGAAAATTCATACTCTTAAATTAAAGATGAATATAAACTAGAGCTAAGGAGAACTATTAGAGAAAACATAATTTCTGAACATTTTTAGATTTTTCCATCTCAACCTTCTTTTTTTTTAATATTGACTGTAGAGTGATGTTCCAATAGATTTACTTGATGTGGATAAAAATTCCGCTGTTGTTAGCTTTAGCAGCTGTGATTCTGAGGTGAGTAAAAAATATGAAAGAATTTTTCACATGCTTTCCTTTCTAATATGCCATTTTGATTAAAGTCTATAAATGCTGCTAGGTTTTGATATTTCTTTTCCAGTCATTTCTTACATAACCTTTTCTTCAAAAATCTGTGTTGGTTCTCTTTCCCTATCTTCAGTCAAGAAACCTGGTGTTGTCCTAGATTCCTTCTTTTCTGTGATCTGTTACAGGTTGATATCACTTATGTGAAATACTTGGGACCAAGAAGTATTTTGGACTTTAGATTTTTTTCAGATTTGGGAATATTTGTATTATACTTACTTTTTCAGCACCTCAGATTTGAATATCTAAAATCTGAAATGCTCCAATGAGCATTTCTTTCAAGTATTACCTTGGCACTCAACAAATTTAGGGTTTTGGAGTATTTTAGATATTCAGTTTGGGGATGTTCAACCTATATATCCAATTAGTCATTAGTTTTTGTTAGTTCTATCTCCATGGCATTCATACTTCTACTTGGGTTCATTCCTACTCCTGTGAACTTAGTCCAGGCCCTTATCATGTGTTACTTAAACTGCCTCAGCTGGGTGAGGTGGCTCACACCTGTAATTCCAACACTTTGGGAGGCTGAGTTGGGTGCATTGCCTGAGATCAGGAGTTTGAGACCAGCCTGGCTAACAGAGTAAAACCCTGTCTCTACTAAAAATGCAAAAAATTATCTGGGTGTGGTGGTGGGTGCCTGTAATCCCAGCTACTAGGGAGGCTGAGGCAGGAGAATCACTTGAACCCAGGAGGCGAAGGTTGCAGTGAGCTGAGATCACACATTGCCTGAGCAATAACACAGAAACTCCATCTCAAAAAAAGTTTCTTTGCCTATAGTCTTGCCGCTGATTTCTAGGCTATGCTGTATGTACACTGCCACAAGAGAGATCTTCCTTCCTAAAACACAAACATCACCATATCTTTCTTTTCTCAAAACCTTTAAAATATTTCTGATTTCCTGCTAGATATAAATCTAGATTCCTTATTGTGGCATAGAAAACTTTCCATGATTCAGCTCTTGATTACATCTCTAACTTCTCTCTCACCAGCTGCTACCATCCCTCCCATGCACATTATTTCTGCCAAACTGAAGATCTTAAAATTCCTGAAAATGCTATATAGTTTCACACATTCCTACATTGGAGTATGATCTGTTGCTTCCCCCGCTCTTCCTGCCCTGCCCCACTTTTTCTAGGCTTGTTGAAAGCGTACTAAACTTCTTTTAACAGACTTTTATTTTATTGAGCACTTAACATGTGCACAGTACCTGAGATGAGATCATGTCAGTGCTTTTGGACATGCTTCTTTCTGCTTAGAAATAGCTGATAAGCAGTCTCAGAGCTAGGTGTGACTCCTGAAGAGAAGTTACAGTATAGATAAGGTTTGGATTAATTGCAATGGAGAAGGCAAGCCAGAGCAGGAGGAGATGGTAACTGGAGTTGGTGGGTAGTTATATTAATACATATTTTACTTTTTAAATTTATATGCGCTGGCACTGCTGCAGAATATATTTTATTTATTTTTTGTTATTTATTTTCTTCAGACATGGTCTCACTCTGTTGCACAGGCGGGAGTGCAGTGGCGTGATCATGGCTCACAGCAGCATCAACCTCCCTTGCTCAAGCAGATCCTCCCACCTTAGCCTTCAAAGTAGCTAGTACTATAGGTACAAGCCACCATGCATGGCTGATTTTTAAATTTTTTTGTAGAGACAGGATCTCCCTATGTTGCCCAGGGTGGTCTCAAACTCCTAGACTCAAGTGATCCTCCCACTTCACCCTCCCAAAGTGCTGGGATTATAGGCATGAGCCACCGCTTCTGGCCTTATATATTTTTTATAGAGGAGGTTCTACTTGGGTTCATTCCTACTCCTGTGAACTTAGTCCAGGCCCTTATCATGTGTTGCTTAAACTACTTTATAGGTTTCCCTGCCTCAGCTGGGTGCAGTGGCTCATGCCTGTAATTCCAACACTTTGGGAGGCTGAGGCAGGTGGATTGCCTGAGGTCAGGAGTTTGAGACCAGCCTGGCTAACATAGTAAAACCCTGTCTCTACTAAAAATACAAAAAATTAGCTGGGTCGGGTGGTGGGTGCCTGTAATCCCAGCTACTAGATAAAGTAGATAAAGTAAAAATTGATAGATATAAGAAAGATTTTCTGTTGTTTTTTTTTTTTTATGGAGTCTTGCTCCATCGTTCAGGCTGGAATGCAGTGGCATGATCTCAGCTCACTACAATCTCCACCTCCCAGGTTCAAACAATTTTCCTGTCTCCGACTCCCAGGTAGCTGGGACTACACACGCACAACACCATGCCTGGCTAATTTTTGTATTTTTAGTAGAGATGGAGTTTTGCCATGTTGGCCAGGCTGGTCTTGAACTCCTGATTTCAGGTGATCCACCTACCTCAGCCTCCCAAAGTGCTGGGATTACAGGTGTGAATCACTGTACCCAGCCTATTTTTCAATATAATTTCACAGTAAAAATTTTATTTTTAATAAGAGATTTTATAACAGTTGCATTATATTATCAATATATGGTTTGTTATCCCTGTTTGAGAACAAAACATAAAAGATATGGCCTACATTTTTATGATTATTTAGAAAATCAAGTTAACCTAAACTTAAAATCTTTGATTCTTAAGTTACTATGAAAGATTAATGTTTTCATTATATCACTGAAGGATTCTTTGAAATGAGTGTTTAATACTAATTTAAAATATATTTTCTAGGACAATGGCCTTAAAAAAAAACTTATGGAGATTTCAAGTATACACAAAAGTAGAAAGACTAGTATAATAACTTTCATGTATCCATCACTAATTTTCAACATATGATTCGTCTTTTTTTTTTAAGAGATGGGGGATCTTACTGTGTAATTGAGGCTGGAGTCCAGTGGTATGATCATGACTTACTGAAGCCTCAAGCTTCTGGGCTCAAGCTGTCTTCTTGCCTCAGTCTCCTGAGTACGTAGGACCATAGGGATGTGCCATGATGCCTGGCTGATATATTTTATTGTTTATTTTTTGTAGAGATGGGGCCTCACTTTGTTGCCCAGGCTGGTCTTGATGAACTAGCTTCAAGCTGTCCTCCCACTTCCCAGCCTCCCAAAGTGCTGGGATTACAGGTGTGAGCCATTGTGCCCAGCCCAGTCTTATTTTTTTATGCTCTTCACTCTCTCCGTCTCCACTCCCAAACCTAATTCCAAACCCGTTGTCTGTGTTATTTGTTGATAAACACTGTGGTATAAAATGTTTGTTTTTAATCATACAAGAATATATTTACAGCTGGGCATGGTGGCTCATGCCTGTAATCCCAGCACTTTGCTAGCCCAAGGCAGATGGATCACTTGGGGCCAGGAGTTCAAGACCAGCCTGGCCAATATGGCAAAACCCCATCTTTACTAAAAATACAAAAATGTAGCTGGGTTTGGTGGTATGAGCCTATAGTCCCAGCTATTTGGGAGGCTGACATACGAGAGTCACTTGAACCCAGGAGGCAGAGGTTACAGTGAGCTGAGATTGCACAACTGCACTTCAGCCTGGGTAACACAGCAAGATTCTGTCTCAAAAAAAAAAAAAAAAAAGAATGGTCCTCTCTGTTGAGTTTAAATGATTTGAAATTAAAATGTTTTAATTTTATTTTTTATATTACCATCCTTTTTCTTTATTTAATAAAAATAAAGAAATAGCAGTCACAAAAATTGCATATAAATTATCTTACGTTGCTCTGTTTTTGTAATCCATGCACCTAGCTACATTTTTCTATTTCTAGTAGTTTAATATTCAATTTCAAGAAGTTAAAATATTTGAAGGAACTCCTCTAGGTTAGTTCAACAAACATGTATTAAGCACTTACAGTATGCCAGGCACCATGCTATTTGCTGGGAATACAGAGATAAGATGTTTCTTTTTCCTCTATAAGTATTTGTGAAAATCAAAGAGATTCAAAATCAAACTCTGATGTATGTGCCTTTATAGTATAAACATTTTGTATTAGTCCCTTTTCACACTGCAGATAAAGACATACCTGAGATGGGACAATTTACAAAAGAAAAAGGTTTGTTGGATCCAGTTCCACGTGGCTGGGGAGGGCTCACAATCATGGCAGAAGGTGAAAGGCATATCTTACATGGTGGCAGACAAGAGAAGACAGAATGAGAGCCAAGAGAATGGGGTTTCCTGTTATAAAACCATCAGACCTTATGAGACTTATTCACTACCAAGAGAAACAGTATGGCAGAAACTACCCCCATGATTCAATTATCTCCCACTGGGTCCCTCATACAACATATGGGAATTATGGAAGTACAATTCAAGATGAGATTTGGGTGGGGATACAGCCAAACCATATCATTCCATCTCTGCACCTCCCAAATTTCATGTTCTCACATTTCAAAACCAATCACGCCTTCTCAAGAGTCCCCCAAATCTTAACTAATTTCAGCATTTATTCAAAGGTCCACATTCCAAAGTCTCATCTGGAACAAGGCTAGTCCCTTCTGCCTATGAGCCTGTGAAATCAAAAGCAAGTTAGTTACTTCCTAGATACAATGGGGGTACTGGCATTGGGCAAATACAGCTGTTCCAAATGGGAGAAATTGGCTAAAACAGAGGGGCTATCAGCCCCATGCAAGTCCAAAATCCAGCAGGGCAGTCAAATTGTAAAGATACAAAATGATCTCCTTTGATTTCATGTCTCACATCCAGATCATGCTGATGCAAGACATGGGCTCCCATGGCCTTGGGAAGCTCCACCCCTGTGGCTTTGCACGGTATACCCCCAATCTTGACTCTTTCACTGGCTGGCATTGAGTATCTATGGTTTTTCCAGGTACACAGTGCAAGCTGTCAGTGGATCTGCCATTCTGTGGTCTGGAGGACAGTGGCCCTCTTCTCACTAGGCAGTGCCACAGTAGGGACTCTGTGTGAGGGCACCAACCACACATTTTCCTTCCACACTGCCCTAACAGAGGTTTTCCATGAGAGCCTTGCCACTGCAACAAACTTCTGCCTGAACATCCACACATTTCCATACATCTTCTGAAATCTAGGTGGAGGTTCCCAAACCCCAGTTATTGACTTATGTGCACTGACAGGCTGAACACAACATGGAAGCTGCCAAAGCTTGAGGCTTGCGCCCTCTGAAGCCATAGGCCAAGCTCTGCTTTGGTGCCTTTCAGCCATGGTTGGAGCAGCTGGGACACAGGGCACCAAATCCCTAGGATGCAAATAGCACAGAGACCTGGGCTTGGCCCACAGAAACACTTTTTCCTCCTAGGCCTCAGGGCCTGTGGTGGGAGGGGCTACCTTTAAGACCTCTGACATGCTCTGGAGACATTTTCCCCACTGTCTTGATGATTAATGTTTGACTTCTCATTACTTACGCAAATTTCCACAGTCAACTTGAATTTCTCAGAAAATGGGATTTTTTTTTTTTTCTATTGCAAATTTTCTAAACTTTTATGCTCTCCTTCCCTTATAAAACTGAAGTCTTTTAACAGCACTCAAGTCACCTCTTGAATGCTTTGCTGCTTAGAAATTTCTTCTGCCAGTTACCCAAAATTATCTCCCTCATGTTCAAAGTTCCACACATCTGTAGGGCAGGGGCATAATGCTGCCAGCTCTTTGCTAAAACATAATTAAGAGTCACCTTTGCTCCAGTTACCAACAAGTTCATCATCTCCATCAGAGATCACCTGGATTTCATTGTCCACATCACTATCAGCATTTTGGACACAGCCATTCAACAAGTCTCTAGGAAGTTTCACACTTTCCCACATTTTCCTGTCTTCTGAGCCCTCCAAACTGTTCCAGTCCCTGCTTGTTACCCGGTTCCAATGTCACTTCCACATTTTCGGGTATCTCTATAGCAGCACTGTACTCTTCCAGTACCAATTTACTGTGTTAGTCAATTTTTACACTGCTGATAAAGACATACAGGAGACTGGGCAATTTACAAAAGAAAGAGTTTATTGGACTCCTAGTTCCATGAGGCTGGAGAGGCTTCACATTCATGGTGGAAGGTGAAAGGCACATCTCACATGGTGGCAGACAAGAGAAGAGAGAATAAGAGCCAAGAGAAAGAGGTTTTCTCTGATAAAACTATCAGATCTTGTGAGACTTAATTCGCTACCATGAGAACAGTATGGGAGAAACTGGCCCCATGATTCAATTATCTCCCACCAGGTCCCTCCCACAACACATGGAAATTATGGGAGTACAATTCAAGATGAGATTTGGGTGGAGGCAGAGCCAAACCATATTACACTTATTGTTTGCATTGTCAGATTTTTAGAAAAACTCTTCATGTTTAAAAATCTTCTTGTAAAGACTTAAGATGGAAAGAGCATGTGCTTTAGATAGAAATTTGAATTCCAGTTTCATTACTTACTGGCTTTGGGGGGAAGTTATTTAACTCCTGATAACCTAGTTTCTTCATATGTTAAAATTTAATTAGTAAAACTTAGTGCATAGGGTTTTTGTAAGTATAAGTTAGAACATGTTTGAAAAGCACTTAGCACTAATGACAGGTACTTAAGTTAATATTAACCATTATTATTATTGATGCTTTGTTGTTGTTGCTAAAAACATGGATTCATTCTTTTCTTCCACTTTGTATTCTTCCCAGTTAAATGACAACTTCCTTCTTGCCACTTATCGGTGCCAGGCAAATACCACAAGGCTGGAACTGAAGGTAAAAATATTAGAATTTACCTTTACTTGAATGTTTGGATTTCCTTTTGCCCGCTGGTATATCTTACAACATATGATGTTATTTGTTTGCATTTAATTTCTCCCTGAAATGAATTGTTTTGGAGTAATGAATTTTGAGTGACCAGTCAGGTTGTAATTTAGGCCAAACCACAATCTCTACTATTACTTCTCAATCACCTTCTCTAAAATCATTGTTTTTTTGTTTTTTTTTTTTTAAATAGAAACTGGGTTTTGCTGTGTTTTTCAGGTTGGTCTCAAAGTCTTGGGCTCAAGCAGTCCACATACCTCGGCCTCCCAAAGTGCTGGGATTACAATGCATGGGATTACAGGAGTGAGCCAACATGCCCAGCCTAAAATTACTGGTCTTAAAATTTCCTCTAACTGAAACATTCAAGTTTTCTATTATAGAAAGTTTCAAACATTTATAAAAGTAATAAATCCCCATGTATTAATCACACAGCTTCAGCGATGATCAACTCATGGCCATCTTGTTTATGCTATCATTCACTATCCTAAAATATTTTGAAGCAAATACAAGATATTCATAATTTCATTTAGTATGTCTAAAAGATAGGTACTCTCTTTTTTTTAACATAACGACACTATTATCACACCTAAGAAAAATCAAAAATAATTTTTTAATATTATAAAATATTTAATGTTCAGGTTTTACTGATTTTTATTTTATAGCTTAAGCCAGTCATCTTCTAAATTAACTTAGTTTTTTTTTTTTTATAGATAGCATTTCACCGTGTTGGTCAGGCTGGTCTTGAACTCCTGACCTCAGGTGATCCACCCACCTTGGCCTCCAAAGTGCTTGGATTACAGGCGTGAGCCACTATACCTGGCTTAACTTAGTTATTTTAGTATCTGGGCATTCACCATATATTTTTCTACCTTCTGAATTTTGCTGATTGCATTCCAGTGATATCCTTTATTACCGTATATTCTAGAGAAAACCTTTTAAAGTTTTCTTTAGCAATTTAATGACATAGTCATTTTTATAATTAAATACTTACCATAGCACACAAATCAGTTTTAGTGATTTGTAGTGGGATTCATTTTGATAGACCTATGATCTAAAAATTAAGGACTGTAAATTTTTTCCTGGTGTTCTGATGTTTTGAAACTCAAAGGTTTTTTATAAAACTTTTCAAGAGAGATGCTGTTACACAATATTTTTTTCACATCTGGTTAAGGAAGTTCCAGGTAATTATGATTTTTCCCCTAAACAACTCATTTTGGTCTGCATACATTCCCTTTTATGTACTTTGAAAGAGAAATGGAAAACTGAGATAAATTTATTTCTAAAAAATAAAATATATTTTATCAGTAACTGATCTAATTAAACATTTTACACTGAGCAAGTTTCTGCCAATAAATTTGAAAGTAGTCTAAAAATTGTTTAAAAGCAATCAATGTTCCTCTTTTTTTTTATTTTTTATTTTTTGATATGGAGTCTTGCTCTGTTACCCAGGCTGGAGTGCAGTGAGGCAATCCTGGCTCACTGCAACCTCCACCTTTCAGGTTCAAGCGATTTTCATGCCTCAGCCTCCTGAGTAGTTGGGATTACTGGCATGCACCACCATGCCTGGCTAATTTTTGTATTTTAGTAGAGACAGGGTTTCACCATGTTGGACAGGTCGGTCTCAAACTCCTGACCTTAGTTGATTTGCCTGGCTCCAAAGTGCTGGGATTACAGGCATGAGCCACCATGCCCCGCCATGTTCCTCTTTTTTAAATTGGATATAATAATTTTAAAGTATGGAAGAATCACAAAATGCTTGAAAAGAGCCAAAAAACTTATGAAAAGGAAGAAAAGGTGGAACTTGCTTTGCCATATGATAAAACATAACATATAACTACCACACAATAATGGAGGATATTTCTAAGCCTAAATAAATAGGCCATGTAACAGAATAACCTAGAAATAGAACCCAGAATACATTTCACATTTATGGGAATTTAGGGCATGACATTTCTATTTTAATAGAAGGGAACACTTCTGTTAAATCAGTATTTCTATTTAAAAATTGCTGTTGGTACAACTGGCATCCATCTGGAAGAAAATTAAATGAAATATCTTATGCCATATATCAAAAATAAATTCAGATGAATTAAGTACCTACTTATTTAAAAAAAGAAGACTCAGTTGTCTAACAGATAATAATTGTCAATATAATATAAATACTGCCTATAATTATTAAAATAAAAACTACTGAGTAAGGAAAATAGGCAAAGGATATGGATAGGCAAGTCACAGAAGAGAGGATTGGGCACAGTGTCTCACCCCTGTAATCCCAGCATTTTGAAGTCAGGAGTTCGAGACCAGCCTGGCCAACATGGTGAAACCCTGTCTCTACTTAAAAAAAAAAAAAAAAAAAAAAAAGGAAAAAAAATTAGCTGGGCATGGTGGTGCACACCTATAATCTCAGCTACTCGGGAGGCTGAGACATGAGAATCGCTTGAACCCAGGTGATGGAAGTTGCAGTGAGCCAAGATTGTGCCACTGTACTCCAGCCTGGCCAATGGAGTGAGACTCTATCTCAAACAAAAAAACCCAAAACACAGCAGAGGGAATCAAAATAGCTAACAAACAAAAAAGTTCTACCTTATCTTTAGCCAGAGAAATTCAAATTAAAATAACAAAAAGCAGATTGGCAAAAATATTAAAGAACAACATGCTAGGGGACAGGGATGAGGAAAATGACACTGTCAGTCACAGCTGGTGAATATATAAGTTGTTACAGTCACTTTGGAAAAGAGATATGGGGGAATCTTTTTTTTTTTTTTTTTTTTTGAGGTGGAGTTTTGCTCTGTTGCTCAGGCTGGAGTTCAATGGTGTGATCTTGGCTCACTGCAACCTCCGCCTCTGGGGTTCAAGTGATTCTCCTGCCTCAGACTCCTGAGTAGCTGGGATTGTAAGTGTCCATGACCACACCCAACTAGTTTTGTATTTTTAGTTGAGATGGGGTTTCTCCGTTGGTCAGGCTGGTCTTGAATTCTTGACCTCAGGTGATCCACCCACCTTGGCCTCCCAAAGTGCTATGATTACAGGTGTGAGCCACCATGCCTGGCTGGGGGAATCTATTAATAGCAGTAAAATAGCAGTCATATACATATAGATGTGAATATAATTAATTGCAGCATTGCTTCTACAGGCAGAAAAGTGGAACCAAGGTGAATACAAGTGATTGAATGGTTGAATAAATAGCTATTTATTCATATCTTGGAATATTATACAGCTATTATAAAGAATTAGTTGATCCATACCTGTTAACATGGAGGGAATTTCATAAAACAAACAAAATGCTGATAAAGTCTCCCTATATAATTTGTATATATTTTTATCTATAATGATATAAATATGAAGAAAGGTATGAAAAGAAACATACCTGTCTGATACATCCAGTTATACAATATGGGGAAGGCATAAGTGGGATGGGAGGAGCAGGGAGGTGATGGTAAAAGGAGAGGCAGAAATAAGGGGGGGAAATGCGAATACTGGAAATGAAAGCAAAGATATCTATGATCTCAATAGAACTTAGTCATATGAAATATATTAAATTAGGTCTTTCTCTTAAATTAGATCTTCACAGCTTAGTGAATTATTATTTCCTGTTAAGTATGTTGAATTCTCAAGATATCCGGCCAGTCATATTCAAAATAGCCCAAAAGAATTTCCAGTCCAAATATGCCATAATTAGATTATTTATATGCATCTCTATTTTCTTTTTTTTTTCCTTTTCTCCACCATAGGTCATCATGCTAGTAGATCTCTATTTTCACAGAATGTCAATAATTAAGTTGTTTGAAATGCTTTTTCTGTCAATAGATTTTTATAACAACAGCTATATACTAAATACTTTTTTTTCATACATGTACATAGAGAGACATATGTGGGAGGATTTCAGGTGACTTACATGTTTGTCCAGATTTTTCTTTATTGTTTGTATTTGAAAATAAGGAATATTAATTGTTGTACTGATTATTATAAATTAATTTTTTCATATTGTTATGTTCATTATTAAAGCTCTTTTTCTTGTGGAAAAAAATCCCTGCCAATATGACCTTATTACTCTTTAAAAATAAACTGCAAAATGTAGGTTTATCATATCTATTTTTAATTTTCTTTCTATATTTTTAATTCTTTTCTTATCATCTACCTAGTCAGCAATATTTGCAGTGCAACATTTGTAAAAAATCTTGCTTAAACTTTTAAAATATTTCCCACTTAGATCAAATGTTGATATTTTCCCCCTTATGCTATGAAAAGTATGAGTTAAAGGATCAATTAGATTAGAGAAGTTACTTTTGTGTAGTTCAAGAGGTACTACAATCCATCCCAGGAATTGGAACAGAGGGGGAAAGGAAAAAGAAGCTGGACAGCTTTCCAACTCCTCTTAAATTAGGCCTTCACATCTTAGTGCATTATAAGTCTTGTTAACTTGTGTTGAACATTTTAAAGATATTTTGTTGCAAAATATTCTTATTTTCTTTCCTCTTTTGTGTTGAATCAGATTCGCTCAATTGAAGGCCAGTATGGCACACTACAAGCATATGTGACTCCAAGAATTCAACCCAAAGCCTGTCAGGTTCGCCAGTACCACATCAAACCTCTTTCACTTCATCAAAGAACTCACTTTATTGATCATGACAGGTAGGACAAAGGAAAGAGCAGTTTCTTTTTAAGATATTACACAATTCAAATAGACCTCTTTTTATTTTTATAGTGTGAATTCGGGTAGCAATTTTTCTTTGCTTTTTACTTTAAATATTTTAAATACTATGGATTTAATATATCTAAGAAATATAAGATTCTTTGTCTTATTTTAGAGGCTGATTTGAGTTGGACTTTCCCATCTTTCTCATATATTACTATCCAGGGATTATTAGAAAAGCAGTTCTCTCTCTCAGATACCTAATGTGAGAGCAAATGCTGTTTAACCTTTAGGCAGTGTAACAGTTCTCTGTGAATAGGGCCTCATTTTATTAGCCTCGAATATTATATTTCTTTTATATTTCTTCTCAGGGAATACTGATAAAGCAATTGGTTGTGATAGTGCCTTTTATTTCCATTCCAACTTAGGCATCCATCTCTTTGTAGTTTTTTGAGGTTAGAGAACATGGGCTTAAATGAAAGAGAAGAGAAAGAGATGAACAATTACTGATTACTTTCTCCGTGCCATGTATAAACTAGGTGCTTATGTAGTATTTAATTCTTACAAGATAATGTCTCCATTTTACAAGTGAAAAATGGAGGCTTAGAAAAGTAAGTAACTTGCTAATAAGAGGACTAAAGCTATGAATTGAAGCCAAAACCCATGTTCTTTGTATTGCTGCCTGTAATTTAAAATATGTAATTTGAATAAGATGTAAGGCAGACTATTACTAAAGAAGATTTTTGGAAAACATTAAAGAGAATAGACTCTTTCTGTCTTGCTTAAGAGTCAAAGTTGGAATTAATGGAGGTGGCATGGTATGCTAGAAAGAATAGTAAAGAGGGAATCAAGAGACTTGGACGACTTTGGGGAAATAATTTAGTCTCTAGGTTTTAGTTTTTTCATCTGCAAATGAGAGGATTGGTCTGAACTTTTCATTTTATAAACTGCATTTTCTTAACTCTTTATCCATCTGATTTATTTTAAATATGATTTATTTTACAGTTTTTTTCATGTTGCTTTAGTGTGTATGATACCATGTTTTTACAAGACAGAAAGTATGATACCATATTTCTGCAAGATAGAAGGTATTATTCTCTAAGTTGTCCAATGGCACAGAGCTAGTAAATAATGGAACAACCTTTGTCTGTCTTACTCAAAATCCCAATTATTTGCCTTCACACTCTGCTGATTATTTCCCTAAGGAGATCCTTATATAAGTATATAAGTTTATGTAGTATAAATACTAGATAAGCTTTTTTAAAATTAGAGCTGGGCATGGTGGCTCACACCTCTAATCCCAGCAATTTGGGAAGCCGAGGCAGGTGGACTGCTTGAGCCCTGGAGTTCAAGACCAGCCTGGGCAACATAGTAAGATCTCATCTCTATAAAATAAAAATAAATAAATAAACTAAAAAAAAAGAAATATGCCCAAATAAATGGAATTTTATTGAAAAGCATGTTATAATGAATAAAACCTCTTTACATATATCACTTAACTGATACTTGGCACAGGTACAGGTATAGATAAGTGTTCAATTTTTTTTCATGAAATTGAAGTGTTCATTTATTTGATGTATAAGATTAATCTGGGAAAATTGAATTGGTTCTTTTATATTTGTTTAACTGTTGCAAAATTCTGCCTGTTAATGTGTACATATGGTACTTCCATGTATTCCCACATATAAATGTGTGCCTCTACTATTAAATTACAGACCCATGAATACACTGACTCTAACAGGCCAGTTCAGTTTTGCTGAAGTTCACTCCTGGGTGGTTTTTTGTCTGCCTGAAGTTCCAGAAAAACCTCCAGCAGGAGAATGTGTGACATTTTACTTTCAGAACACCTTTCTAGATACACAACTTGAAAGTATCTACAGGTAAATCAACCTTATTACTGGTTCACAAGTGTTTTTTATATAACTGTAGCTTCTAAGTTTTCCTTTAAGTTGGGAGTTATTTGTGAGTAATCTAATTGAAAACCTATACTGTTCAAGAGAATCTATTGAAAAACAAGTCAAATTAGTAAGTTTAGAAAAGCGATTGAATAAAGATGTATATGCAAAGATCAGTATATTTCCTAAATTCCCAACAATAACTATAACTAGTGAGAAAATAAAGTAGTTAAAAAGACATTTTCAGAGTAGCAATAACAATAATAAAATAGCCACATAAAATCTGTAGGAATGTTCTTAATTAGAAATATGTAGAACTAGCATGAGAAAACTGTAAAATTTTATTGACATAAAAGACTTGATTAAATGGAGTAATATATTCTATAGTCTTCAATATGAAGACATTGTAAAAGATTACAGTCCTACCCAAATTGATTTGAAGATTTATCCTAATTCTAATAAAAACTCCAGTTGAATTTCTTTGTGCACAAAATAGACCATGGCTTAAAACTTTAGGGCTTAGAACGTGCAGGCTTTTTGCAGCTATTCTGATATGGTGTGCAGGTCATGATACTGTTTTATACTCTTCTCAAGCTTCTAGTTGCACCCATTACTCCTTCACTGTCACTTCTAACTCATCTCCTATAAGCTCCAATAATTTTTCTTAACTTCGCAATATAATAGAAGCTAAACTTTTCCTTTTTTTTTAACCTGTCTGAATGTGAAATGGCCTACTTCTTGGGCAAGGCTGATTTCTCTACATCTACCTTTGAGCTTGAATCCTGCTTCTTCAAGGTTTTTGCATTCTCATTCTTTCTCACATCTGTAGGTTGTTTTTGTTTGTTTTGTTTTGAGATAGGATCTCATTCTGTCACCCAGTTAGAGTGCAGTGGCTCGATCTCAGGGATCTCAGTGTACTGCAACCTCCCAGGCTCAAGGGATCCTCCCACCTCCCTCCTGGGTAGCTGAGACCACAGCCCTGCACCACCATGCCCAGGTAATTTTTTTATTTTCTGTAGAGACAGGGTTTCCCCATGTTGATCAAGCTGGTCTGAAACTCCTGAGGTCAAGCAATGCTCCTGCCTTGGCCTCCCAAAGTGCTGGAATTATAGGCGTGAGCCACCACACCAGGCCTATGTTTGTGATTTTTTTTTGTGGGGTTTGTTTGTTTGTTTTGCTTTGTGTTATTTATCTGGGAGAGATAAACCTCTTAAGGTTCTTTCCCTAAGCAGATAATTGATGTATTCTCCTAAGTTCTGAAAACTTAGCATGGTAAAGTCTCAACTAGGGAACAAGAAGTAGAACTACTAGGGAGGTAGTATAGAAGCATATGCTTTGGAGGTAGACATAATTAGGTTTGAATCCTGGCTCTGTGACTTACCAACTCTGTGACCTTAGCTGGTTACTTAACTCTCTGAGCTTCAGTTTTCTTTTCTGAGGAATGAAAATAATAGCACTTACTTTATTAATTGTTATGATGATTAAAAGAAGATAACCATTTCAGTCATTCTATAGTACTTGGCACTCTTGTGTTTACTAAATATCATCTGTTAGGATTAAAGACTAGTAGAAATATGATTTCTAAAACATAATTAAGATCAATGTAGTAAGGGTGTATTATTCATCTTTCTAGAAAAAACCCAATTATCTTTTTTGTTTGTTTGTTTTGAGACAGAGTTTCACAGGTTGAAGTGCAGTGTCATTTTCTCACTGCAACCTCCTCTGCCCAGGCTCAAGCGACTCTCATGCCTCAGCCTCCTGAGTAGCTGGAATTTTAGGAGTGCGCCACCATGCCTGGCTAATTTTTGCATTTTCAGTAGAGATGGGTCTCACCATGTTGGCCAGGTTGGTCTCAAACTCCTGACCTCAAGTGATCCACCCTCTTGGCCTCACAAATGCTGACATTACAGGCATTAGCCACCACACCTAGCCAAAGCAATTATCATTTGCATATAGCTGGTTGGTATGTGTGATTTGTGTGTGTGTGTGAAAAACAAATGAAAAAGCAACATTAAGTATATGAAAGATGATACATGTTAATTAGGAAACTTGGTCATTATAAAAAGGAACCAAATGCAAGCAGCTTAACCAAATAAAAGGAATTTATCAGCTCACATAACATAAAAGTCTAGCAGTAATCTGCCTCAGGCACAACTGGATCAGTGGCTTAACTGATGTCATCAAGATTTTAATCCCATGTTCAATTCTGCTTTTATCTTTTCTTGGCTTTACCATCCAGTGTTATGGCCCCCCAGCAGTTCCTGGAATCCAGTCTTACATATTTTCAGCTGCCTTTGGGCTTTTCTTGCCCACTAGCTCCAGTAAATGTCCAAGAATTGAGTATCATTGTCAAGCCATGAACCACTGTAGTCAGGGGTATGGAAGGTACTACTCAATGCTTCCTCCTGAAGTCCCAGAAATAGATTGAGACCAATGCCACTGAAACTATATGGACTTAAGAGGGCAAAAGAAAAAGGAGTGGTTCCCTAAAGAAAAATAACGGTCCTCTGGCCATAAGCAATGGCAGTGGATGTTGAGCATGAAAAACAGCAGATGTCACTCTTTCATATTTGATACCAGATTTCTTTCAAGGATAAAGCATATAGTCACACTGTAATTTGTGTGATTACATCAAAGAAAAACATACTTAGGTAAGTAAGCAATTCTAAGTGCATTTTATATATATGAGGTTGGCTATTGGAAATATTAGTAAAAAAAATGAAGATAAAAGTTGTTTTAAATGAAGTTTTTATATAAATTATCACATATTTAGGAGGCATATATCTTTTGTTTCGTTTTATAAGTATATTCAGAAGCTGAATTAATATATTAGTAAAGGATTCATGTTTGAATTTGCTTTATATAATGATATATATATATATATACATATATATATATAAAAGAAATTACAGTCAGATGAAATCTAAATACTAAGTACTAATCATAAAATATATATGTACTGGACTACTTCCTTCTACAGCTTATTCTTTTAAAAAATATATTAATTTTATAGAAAAGGAGAAGGAGTTTTTAAATCTGACAACATTTCTACTATCTCCATCCTAAAAGATGTGCTTTCTAAAGAAGCTACAAAAAGGAAAATCAGCCTCAACATATCATATGGTAAACAAACAAAATATTAATTATTCCTTCTAATTTTTATTTTGCGGTGTTGTTACATTATTAATGTTTCTGATCAAAGTGATTTATCTAACTGTACTTCTTCTAGAGATAAATGAAATATCAGTCAAACATACTTTAAAGCTAATCCACCCAAAGCTGGAGTATCAGTTGCTTTTGGCTAAGAAAGTCCAATTAATTGATGCTTTAAAAGTAAGTATATGTGTCATCATGGACTGGTGGTTATTATGTTAAGTCATAGGATTTCTAAAATTATCAATACTTTAACATTATATTAGATTGAATTTTGAATATTAAGGTGCTTCTATTTTTAATTTTAAATAAGGAATTGCAGGTTCATGAGGGAAATACAAACTTTCTGATACCAGAATATCGCTGTATTCTAGAAGAGGCAGATCACCTACAGGAAGAATACAAAAAGCAACCTGCACATCTTGAAAGACTCTATGGTTAGTGGACCATCTTAGAATACCTTGCCATATTTCTTTTCAACTGGCTATTTCCCAAGGATCATGTAAGAGAAGCTGGGCAGAAAGATACAAAGATTACATCAGTCATGATTCATGAACCAGTATACTGTGATGAATTAATCTATATATATATGAACAAACTTGGTATAAAATGAATGTAATCTATGAACCTTTAGAGCTTAGACTATATTTCACACAAATAATTATCATGTTTTGTTGCTATCATGAAATATAAAAGTGCAATATTCAAAATTTTTAAAGCAAAATTTAATAAGGGATTAGAGTATTCGTGCTATGTCAGTTTACAATTCAAAACTTACTTTGGTGGTGAGAAGTTGAATGCTCCACAAATTGTATTGAAACAGAGAGAGAGAGTAAGGGAGGTGAAGGGAGGGAAAGAAGGAGTGAGGAAGGAAGGAACAGCTTTAAAAAAACAATTTTGTTAGCAATCCTAACGTTAAGATGTGTTATATAGCACACTGTTTATACTGTCTTCATAATCAGGTGAGATATTTAATTCTTACAATAGCGCTGCAAAGTAGGTGGTATTATCTTTATTTTTCACATACTTTTTATTTTTTTCACCATGTTGGCCAGGCTGGTCTCAAACTCCTGACATCAGGTGATCCGCCCACCTTGGCCTCCCAAAGTGCTAGAATTACAGGTGTGAGCCACCACACCCAGCCTATTTTTCATGCACTTTAACTGAAATCTGAGTCTAAGGAATTTGTTGTCACCTAGCAAATTAGTGATAATGCCTGCATTAGAATTTTCTCACCCCAAAATGCATGCCTTTTATACTATGCCAAGTCTTCTGTAGTCACTGTAGAGCCAACTGGTATCATTAGTCCACACTGATCCTTAAGCCTGTCTACTGAATTTCTTATTACATATCCAGAGACTTTCGCACAAACTGTAGCTGTATTTAATGTCTTAACCTTTATTATATGGCATGCACATGATCTCTTTTATCCTTATAATAACTTATGAAATTGGTGGTACATAACAACCATCTCTTATCACTGACTGCAAAATCCAGACAGCTTTGTAAACCAAAGTTTTTTTCATAATTTGAAAGCAAAATCTTGACTTAATCTGAATTAATTTAATAACAAAACCTGACTTAACCTGACATGAGGTTATATCTTTTTTATTCCATTTAGTGCAAATATTCATTCATGTATTTTTTTAAAATTTTTTATTGCATTTTAGGTTTTGGGGTACATGTGCAGAACATGCAAGACAGTTGCATAGGTACACACATGGCAGTGTGTTTTGCTTCCTTTCTCCCCTTTACCCACATTTGGCATTTCTCCCCAGGCTCTCTCTCCCCAGCTCCTCCCCGCCCCCCGCCTCTGGCTCTCCCCTTTCCCCCCCAATAGACCCCAGTGTTTAGTACTCCCCTCCCTGTGTCCATGTGTTCTCATTTTTCATCACCCGCCTATGAGTGAGAATATGCGGTGTTTCATTTTCTGTTCTTGTGTCAGTTTGCTGAGAGTGATGTTCTCCAGATTCATCCATGTCCCTACAAACGACACGAACTCATCCATGTATTTTGTGACAGAAATAGTACTATGTTTTGCTATTGGATGCTGCCACTCAGTCCCCTTGGGGTTAATACTATAGTATATTCCTTTCATTATCTTCTTAAAATAGGAAAAATTCTAAAATACATATTGCATCAAGCTTTTTGGATAAAGGATTGACAGCTTGAGTTATTCCTATTTTACATAAGAGAAAACTCAAGGTGAAATGATTTGCCCAGATCTTTGAACCTAGGACTATTTGCCTTCAAGTCAAATCCCAAGAATGGTCAACATATAGGTGGAATGTTTTAATTCAGATAAAGCTGTTAAAAATAGAATCTGCCTACACTATGTCAAAATGATCGGCTGTTGGAAAAAAGACACCACTAATTGTGATGTTATATATACTGATAGCAGTTCAAAAATGGCCAGCAGTTGTCTAATTTAACAGGTTGTAATCAATTGTTAAGAGGGTTATTAGGCTAATGATTTATATCTTGAAACTTGTTTTAAAGTCCCCCCAAATGAATATTTTTAAAACCATCATGTCTTTTAGGTTTGTGTATGATAAGTAATAGAATTACACGTGCTTAAAAATAGATTATCAAGCATTTACTTTAATGAAATACTGTCATTAAATAGAACTAATCAGTGACAGGAAATTTACCTTTTTGTTTTATAGGCATGATCACTGATCTTTTCATAGATAAATTTAAGTTCAAAGGCACCAATGTAAAAACTAAAGTACCTCTTCTCCTGGAAATTCTGGACAGTTATGACCAAAATGCATTGATTTCATTCTTTGACACAGCATGAAATACGAATAAGGTAAAGTCCCGAGGAAGTGTTCTGTTTAAATGAAAAATGTTAAAACAGAATTAGAAGTTAACTCTGTACATACTTTAATTTCAAACCCTTTTTTATATCTAAAAATATTTGAGATATAATGGCTTTTTAAAGTAATGCTTCTATTTCTTTTGACAAATGGAACTTTTTAAAACTAGAAGAGTATTTTTATTTTTAAAACACTAGTGGAATGATTTAAATAGGATTTTAATGAATTTTTGGCAAGTGGCTATTTTAATTTTTAAATTGAGAACTAATATGTGGAAAATGAAAATATATTCAAATGTATTATAAGGTATAGAAACACATAAATGTATAAACTGCTTTGTAGGTTTCAGAATGTATTTTTATATATTACCTTATTTGATCTTCACAACTGTTGCATAAGTTTGTCAAATCATATAAGAAAACTGATTCTCACTGAAATCTTGTGATTAAGAGGACATGCTAGTATTTTATATAGCTGGACAAGAACCCAAATCCTGGTACTTCCTTTGTGCTGTCCTGGTTACTATGTATGGTGTCAGCTAGTGGAAAAATCTACCAATTATTTTTTCTAGGAGATAGGATTAATTTGCAACTGATTTCCCTTTTGCTTAGGAATGTTTTAGGACTCCGCTGCAGTTTGTGAAATGCTCGACTTGGCTCAGTGCTATAAATTATAGCCAGGGAAATGAGAGCTTACACAGAGTGGAGGGATCTTAACTAGACATGCTGTAACTATACAAACGTGCTACAGGGGAAGAGTGTAGAAATAGTGATGCCATCTTAGATTTTCCTATACTAGTATCTTCTAGATCTCTTTTTATCATATATGACATTAAGGCTACAGAAGTTTTGTACATTAATCTTAATTCATATTTATTAATTTCAAGGGAATACTGTATTGAAAGGTTTTAAACTAGCAAAAAGATAATGTAAAATATGCTTTATGTTTCGAGAAGAGCTGGCTCACAAATTTTGTAGAAAACAGTGCTTCTTAATGATATGCTATTATACTTATTAGTTACGTGCAAGCTTTTTTTTTTTTTTGAGACGGAGTTTCGCTCTTGTTACCCAGGCTGGGGTGCAATGACGCGATCTCGGCTCACCTCCGCCTCCTGGGTTCAGGCAATTCTCCTGCCTCAACCTCCTGAGTAGCTGGGATTACAGGCACGCGCCACCATGCCCAGCTAATTTTTTGTATTTTTAGTAGAGACGGGGTTTCACCATATTGACCAGGATGGTCTTGATCTCTTGACCTCGTGATCCACCCGCCTCGGTCTCCCAAACTGCTGGGATTACAGGCGTGAGCCACCGCGCCCGGACTAGCTTTTTATATAAATATAAAAATTTGTTAAAGGCACATATACTTAAGACTTGAGTTTTATTTTAACAAGGTCATATTGTTTTTGCTATATTTAGAGAAACTTTACTTCTGAAAGGAACATAATTATATCTAGGTCACTAGAATTTCATTGTTTTTTGTTTGCTGCCACAGCTTGGGGAAAATAGATAAAAATTAATGACTATTTGAATATTTTGTAATGTATTGCTATTTATTATAGATGTAGATATTATTATGTAGTTCAAGGTAGCATCTTAAATTGCATCTTCATTAGGAAAAAAAAAAACAAAAACACAATTTCTGGTTACTGTGAATAAACACCTAAATGTTAAGATGACATTATAGTCTGCTAATTGAGTACTGTATTACTATGTGAGCCCCGTGTTAAATGATTTATGGGCATTATTTAATTCTAACAACCATGACTGTAGATATTATTCCCTATTAACAGATTAAAAAAACAGAGATTTGGAGATATTGAAAAACGTGGCCCAGATTTTAAACCTTGGGAAAAAGTCAGTTAAGCTAACTAGAGATCCCAGAGCTAAAACCTGGGGCAGCCCAAATCATAGTCGCTAAAGTTTAATTCCGTTTAATTCCCTAAAAGGCTTAGGGTCAGCCTCTGGACCGCCTTGCCCTAGGTGGATCAGTTTAAAGTAATCAGAAGCTTGGGCCCTGAGCCCCACTCCCGCACAGGCGTTCTTCCTCCCGCCTCAGCCCTAGGTGGTTTCTCTTTCCTGCCCCTCCCCTGCTCTGTTACCTTTGTGCTTCCTTCACTTGCCTGCGACCCTGTCGCCTCGAATGACGTCAAGGCCGGGGCGCTTTCATTGGTCCATTTCAATAGTCGCGGGATACTTGAACTGCAAGAACAGCCGCCGCTCCGGCGGGCTGCTATCTGTATCTCCGGGCGTCTTTGGCCCGCCACGCCCGGCAGTTCCTGCCTGCACCTTTCACAACCTCCTCGGCCCTGCGTGGTCTCGAGCTGGGTGAGTGGGCGGGCAGGTAGGCTGGCCTGGGCTGTAAGCGGCGCCTACGACTGTTCTTTGGCCGGGTCGGTGCGACCGGTCTGCTGGGCGGAGTGCACGCTGCTTGGCGCCGCAAGCTGATCCCGCCGTCGGCCCCCGGGAACAGTGATGTTGGGCAACTCCGCGCCGGAGCCTGCAGCCCGCGAGGCGGGCTCGGCGCTGCTAGCATTGCAGCAGACGGCGCTCCAAGAGGACCAGGAGAACATCAACCCGGAAAAGGCAGCGCCTATCCAGCCACCGCGGACCCGGGCCGCGCTGGCGGTACTGAAGGCCGGGAACCCCCGGGGTGCATCGCAGCAGCAGAGGCCGAAGACGCGACGGGTAAAAGGATGCGGGTTATCTGCAGGAGGGTGGGTCGAGCAGGGTTTGGCATTGGCTTAGCAGGCAGAGGAGAGTGGCGAGAAGGCATCTCCTAGGCTTTTGGAAGGGGGCCAGGATCTGGTGTCCACTTGGTGTTGGTGTCTGGGATGCCACAATAGGGATTCTTAACATCACGATCCCGCCAACACTGTGTGTATGCTGCCTTTTCTGCTCTCTATAAGGGGCATCTGCTTTACATAATAGGGTCAAACCCAAGCTTTATAACGTGTAAGTCTGCTCAGCTCCTCGCCTTTCTCTCCACTTTTAAACCCCAGGCCCTGCTTTAGGACTTTGCCCCTCTCCCATCTCATGCTGAAGAGATGACCTCTACTTTAGAAAACGGTGTACGAAATACTTTGCTTTTGGCAAATTCCGCCATTTTAGCTGGATTTGCTCTGTTGCTCCACCCTCGGGCGACAGTGGTGAACCAACAACACTTTTTGCCATGTCTTTCCTAAACTTGTCATGTATTGGCCTGCCACCCGACCCTTCTTGTGGCCTTGATTACTTTTGCATAATTCCACCTAGTGTTAACTGTTAGCCTTTGTGGGAATGCCTGTGACAAATGGGAACATCTATTCTCTTTTTGAATACTCAAACTATTCTTTGTCCCAGAAAGTTTAATTCCTGGTAGAGTATTTAGGAGAAAAAGCAAAGCCGACATTCACAAGAGAAAGAATGCAAAACTCAAGTAGGCTCAAAGCCAGTTATTAATTTTTTTTTTTTAGGTTGCACCCCTTAAGGATCTTCCTGTAAATGATGAGCATGTCACCGTTCCTTCTTGGAAAGCAAACAGTAAACAGCCTGCATTCACCATTCATGTGGATGAAGCAGAAGAGGAGACTCATAAGAAGCCAGCTGAATCCCAGAAGGCAGAGCGTGAAGATGTCATGGCTTTTAATTCAGCGGTTAGTTTACCTGGACCCAGAAAACCATTGGTACCTCTTGATTATCCAATGGATGGTAGTTTTGGTAAGTTTTAAGGAAATTGTTAGAGTGATGTCTCATGTAGTCATTTTGACTACAGTGAGTTAAGTTTAATGTAACAAGGCTTAAAAGGGTGTGACTTATCTTGGATCTCACAGCTAACACTTGACCTGGTGTCCTACAAAAAGATCCTAATCCAGTACTCTTTCAGGTTCACTGCCATCATATCAATCTAATTATAATTAGATCTTAAATGCTTATTTTAATCTGATCCCGTAAATGTACTTGGAGAATGGATTTGTTTTATTTAACTCACTTATATATCACTTAGAGTGTGCTATTTGAAGATGCAGTTTTAAATATTGTGATTACATAACATCTCTTGCAGTGTTACAATTTTGTTTATATAAAACCAGTCTGGTTTATCATCTGATACCAGAAAGTGACACTTTCCCTCCTGCAGGTCAACAGTTGTACCATGGCTGTTTGCCCTTACTCATGTATTAAAGTAGCTGCTGTAAACAGCTCTTCGAAGTTTGTATTATTTCTTTGCCCTAGGGATATTGAGTCACTGGACAGCTCACTAAATCAAATTTCATTTTAGTTTTAGTTGTATTGATTGTGGGGGAGGATGAGTGAGCAGAAAAAGTCCGTTGGAAATATTTTGTGTGTTTTTATTAAAATTTTGCAAAATAAGTTTAATTTCAAGGTGATCTTTGATGTGAAAAGAATAATGGATGATACTCTTTGCTTCAAAAGATAATTTACGCTACAAAAAATACTTATTTATAGTGTTAATCTGTTTGTCCATAACAAACCTAATTTCTTTTTTTTTTTTTTTTTAAAGATGGGGTTTCACTATATTGGTCAGGCTGGTCTCGAACTCCTGACATCAGGTGATCCACCCGCCTCAGCCTCCCAAAGTGCTGGGATTACAGGCATGAGCCACCTTGCCCAGCAACAAACCTAATTTCTTAATAACACTTGTTAATGGAGACCATTTAACTGATTCCAGCTGTTGTTTAATTGGGCTTTGTATATGTCAGACTCTGGGATTTGCATTAGGGCAAATCTTAGATATTATCTCAAAACTTGGATTTTAAGTGCTCTATCCTGACAGAACCACCATGCCATCTGCTCCTTTCTGTAATGGAAGTTGAATGCTTTAAGATAATATATGATTCTCGTTTTCTTGTTAGGGGCCTACCAATGTATTTTTTTTTTCCTCATTAACTAATGTCATTCCAAAGATATATGTACAGAGATACTAAGACTAGGGTAAAATATTCTACATATTTCATCATGAGAAGCTTTTTAGTTTGATGAAATAAGTGCTTTGCTAATATAAGATTCCTTACAAGGGCAGTCATTTTTAGCTATTAAACTAAATAGACAATTAATTTAATCATATCTTTTGAATTGTCCCAGAGTCACCACATACTATGGACATGTCAATTGTATTAGAAGATGAAAAGCCAGTGAGTGTTAATGAAGTACCAGACTACCATGAGGATATTCACACGTACCTTAGGGAAATGGAGGTAAAAGTTCTCTGAATCCAGTTTGTATAATATATTTGTTAAATGTGGCTAAGTGAAATTAAGAAGATAGTTAAGTTTTTAAACTGCTAATGAATTATTTTAATGATACACTTAAGTTTATAGCATGTAGCCTCTCTTAATTCATGGTAAAATAATCTAATTGCAATTTTAACACTAAATAATTTTCTCAATAGGTTAAATGTAAACCTAAGGTGGGTTACATGAAGAAACAGCCAGACATCACTAACAGTATGAGAGCTATCCTCGTGGACTGGTTAGTTGAAGTAGGAGAAGAATATAAACTACAGAATGAGACCCTGCATTTGGCTGTGAACTACATTGATAGGTTCCTTTCTTCCATGTCCGTGCTGAGAGGAAAGCTTCAGCTTGTGGGCACTGCTGCTATGCTGTTAGCCTCGTAAGTCTACCTAGGTTTGTTTGATTAAAAGTTATCACTACCTTTTGTTTAGGGAAGAAATTGATTTTTAATGGTGACCTTTTAATATTATACCAGGCAGAGAGTCAGTGACTACTTTAAGGGATGGCAGTGTGGTAGGGCTTGGAGTGGAATAGGATGAAACTGTGTTCTAATCTAGAACCCTAATTTTCCCCTATCTTGAATGAACACAGACTGTCTACATTATATATAGTATAGTAGATTACAAATTTTAAAACATTTTCCTTCCAATATTAAAGTACTTTCTGGCATATAAGCAGTGTCTCTTTCATTAAGAAGTAAAGGCCAAGCGTGGTAGCTCACTCCTGTAATCCCAGCAGTTTAGGAGGATGAGATGGGCAGATCACTTGAGGTTAGGAGTTTGAGACCAGCCTGGCCAACATGGCAAAACCCCATTTCTACTGAAAATACAAAAAATTAGCCAGGCATGATAGCATGAACCTGTAATCTGAGCTACTAGGGAGGCAGAGGCAGGAGAATCACTTGAACCCAGGAGGTGGAGGTTGTAGTAAGCTAAGATTGTGCCAGTGTACTCTACCCTGGGTGACAGGAAGACTGTCTCAAAAAAAAGAAAAACTAAATTTAAAAATGAACACATAAAATATGTTTTATTAGGACTTGTATTTCCTAAATTTTCATCTACTTGGTGAACTCTGGCATTGTTCCCATCTTGAGAAGTCTCATGCCTTTCATTTACTTCCTTTGACTGAACTGGGAAAATATCTCAAAAGTGCCTCGTTGATTTGGGCCTTTTAATTACTATTTAGCTTTCCAGTCTCTGCTAGAAATGATGATCAAGTGTCTGGAACTGCAGTTGGTATGGGTTTTGGATTCATTCCATATATTCTGCTAATGGGATTTCAGAATTGGGATAAGGAAGCTTGCTTCTCTTTTAGGACTGATTACTTAAAACTTTTTTCATTGTAGAAAGTTTGAAGAAATATACCCCCCAGAAGTAGCAGAGTTTGTGTACATTACAGATGATACCTACACCAAGAAACAAGTTCTGAGAATGGAGCATCTAGTT